ATTTTCCGAAATTCTTTACCGTGGAGACTACGCTAGTCTATTGAAAATTTCCAAAATTCCTTGCCGTGGAGACTACGCTAGTCTATAGAAAATTTCCGAAATTCTTTGCCGTGGAGACTACGCTAATCTATTGAAAATTTCCGAAATTCTTTGCCGTGGAGACTACACTAGTCTATTGAAAATGTAGGCGACAATGAATGTCGCAATCAACTTTTTTTAATGGAAAATAAAGTATGCTTTTGTTTTGGTAAAGCATTGACGAAGGCACGAGGCAGGTTCGTCCATGTATGGCATTTGGCGGATGTCCCTATCGCGAAAATTTGTAGAGTCTTGCTAACAATGACTCAACTGGGCATTGCTTAGATAGTGAATGGTCTGAAATTGGGAAAAATACATCAAAAGTGTCAAAATTTATCTATGACCAATTTTTTTTTCGGATCACTTAAGTGTCAAAAAAAAAATTCTGATCACTTAAGTGCCAAAATCGAAGAAAAATGATCACTTAAGTGCAAAAAATTTGGCACTTAAGTGATCCGAAAAAAAAAGTTTTGGCATTTAAGTGATCGTTTTAAAATAAAAATTGACACTTAAGTGATCCAAAAAAAAAGTTTTGGCACTAAAGTGATTCTCGTTGACAAGTTTTGGCATTTCTTGTGTCCTTTTTCCATCTGAAATTATTTGACTACCCGCAAATTGTTTCGATAGCAATACACATCTTGATTACAAGTAAAGCAAATGTGACTTCTGTTGGTAAGGTTTCAAGAGACTTTGGGGATTCTACTTATAGAAATATGAAGGCAAAGTACGAAGATCAAGATGATATTTCCATCTTTCAACTGAAAATTGGCACCTTCCGAGCACTAGAATTCCTACACTCAACAAGTCACCGTACCACGCCAGCACGAAAAGTTAATCCGGAGATTTACGCCATCACAGTTACATAGAAAAGAAGAGAGAACCACGGAGTTACTTCACATCTGTATATCCAAGGAGCACACATTGCATAGCTCAAATTTTTCGTGTTTAATTTTGGGTAGACCACGCACAAGATCCTTGGTGGATAGCTTAGAAATCTGTCTCATACTCACATGACCTAGTATTCTATACCATAGTTCTTTCTCATCCTTGATAGACATTAAGCAATGACCAACATCATAATCAACATTGAGTAGATAAATATTTCCATATCTAGACATCTTTTGTTTCGCGGAAAATAAATAATTTGCAAAATATTTTTTTTTAACAAAGATTGCTTATATTGCTTATAAAAATAAATAAACGAAAAATATTTTCATTGTTCACAAATATGTTTAGACATAAGTTTTTGTCGATAATGAAAAAATTTTTCGTATTGAATTTATGTCTCGAGTTTAAGCCGTTTCTGAAACGTGACACACTTGGATAAATTTCTATAATTTATCTGTGAAGATATATATTTTCTGTTGGAGAAAATATTCAAAATTGCCACATAAAAGAAATCCTTCCGATGGCATGTACAGTAAAGGACGTCCTCAACAGAGAAAGGAATATTGGTGGGTCCAGGTCAAAGTTATTTTGTTGACTTTTGGAATTAAATAAAATTAAAAGGAAAAAGAAGGGCACACATATAAAAAGGCGTTTATATCTTATGCGAGGGTCCCAAGCGGCACATGCACGACACGAAGCCGCACAGTGCTGAAGACGAGTCGCGTGAAGGGGAGAAGAAAGAACGTCAGAGGAACGTTCTCGTTACAAGCCGTACGTGAGCGTTTTTAAGAAAATATTTATGAAATTATTTATTCTCGGCGAAAGATATAAACAGAGCCGACCTAGAATCCAAGTTCCAATCGATGGCCGAGCCAGGCGACGACGACAAGCCGCTGAGGAAGATCGCCCAGTCATTCAAGGAGCTCGCGGCGGCCCTGAACTCCGAGACGGCGGACCTGAACTCCGAGACGGCGGACATCGAGCTCGCGCCATTCTCCCAAGCCTGCTCTCTCGTGCTCCCTCTCATTGGCTCCCTCGGCATCGCTTTCAAGTTCGCCGAGATGGACTTGGCCCCCAAGGTATTATAGGATTCCGAGCGCTGCGACTTACACGGGTGCTAAATTCTTTTCCCTGACTCCCTCAATCATCGAGGTTAAAACTGTTGAGTTATGGAAGTGTTAGTAGCATCAGGGTTTGATGGCTGAGTTGATAGTATAGTAGTAGTGAGTGTACTGTGGAAGCTTGCAGAGGAAGGAAATTGAGTATTATTCTATTGACTTCTACTAAGGAAAAGGTTGGAATTGAAACCAACTCCGGTAATGACCCGGTCCAATCAGGGTGGGGAGTGGTCGCCGGGGCCAGAGAGGACCTGCTTCATCAAACAGGAAGAGAACGTATTTGAGATATATACGTGGAAACTGAAATTAACTTACGAATGCGCCTTTTGACGTAACGGTAAGCTTTGTATTGAAACTGCACAGTTAAACGCACTTAGGTGGGAGCATTATCAGGATGGATAACCTCTTGGGAATGTGTCCACCTGTACGCCAAAGGAAAAAATCGTGAAGCTCGTTATGGAACGGACCAAAACGGACAATACCTCAGTGAGTTAATATAGAGATGTTACAACCTATGATCCAACCAATTCTATTGGCCCGCAGATAATCTTGCTCTAATTAATGTAAGGAGCTGGATAACTAGCTTCAGGTGTCTTTCTGTGATTCGATAACTCCTCTCTTGGAGAATGCTGTTCCCTAAAAGTGATTTTGGGGTTTAAATAGGAATTTGCTATCACCCTTCATTCGATTTTGCAATTCACACTGTTTGCCTTTTCAAATTTGTCTTCCGATCGACCATTTATGTGATGGTTGATCATCTTGCTGCTAGTGCCCTTACTGCAATTTTTTCCTTTCCTGTGAAAAACAGGTTCGTATATTGGCAGACGCATCCAAGTCAATCAAGACCTTGCCAGCCTTGCTGGATTGCGATGTGGAAAGCAACTGCATCAGTAAACCAGGTTGCCATTCGAGACACCTTCTGAGGGTGAATCGGGGCCTAGACGTGGTCAGGGTATTCTTTGAACAGATTCTTGAATCAGAGTATGTAAATGACGCTCAGCTTTCTCTGTTGTACTTCTTTGCACATAACTGCGACAAGTTAGCAAATGTGTGTTTCCTGAACTGCTAATGATATTAAGTGGTACGAAAAGAAAAAATCCAGTATTTAGTCCATTTTCAACTTGTTTAGGGTGAACACAATTTCACGAAGCCCATAAAGCCACCTCCTAACAACCCCTTATCTTCCCACCAAGCAAATATTATAGGATGTAGACTTTTGTGGAGTAAGAGAGGAGGAAAACTCCACAAAGTTGAGAATGGGCGAGGGAATAATGAATTATCTTTGAAAGAACTACAGTTTGGAAGTCTCCATATGTGTCTTGTGAAGGTTGCACAATGTTAGGCTTGCGGTAGCTATATAAGTATGTGGTCATGTCAATGTGACAGACATTAATAGGGAGGGTCTTAAAAGATGTGCTTTGAGGAAATTACAGTAACATATCTCTTCTAAAATTAGGATCTCCTATACGCCCATTTCATACTGTGTATATGGATCTATACAATAGGAGTTAAATGCAACAAAATGTTAAATCCCCAGACAGTCTATAACCCGACCGCAAAGGAGGAAACTGGTTTGGGTTCGTGTCACTATGAGGCCTACATCTTAGGTCTCCACGCCAGCTGGAACCTCTACAACAGAAAACTCAAAATGGATCATCTCATTTTTTGATCTAATTGGGATATAATTTGGGTCGTGTCCCACTTGACAATGGGCGAAAGTGTATACTTTTTCCCTAGGCTAGATGAAATTGTGATGTCCTGAAAACTAAAGGAAAAATTTTGATTCTAGAACACCGAAGTTGGAAAGTGCACATCTTTGAAAGAAAGTTGGTGCTGAATTTATCGAGGATGGGATGGGAGGGACTCATGTAAAGTGGGTTAGACACAGGATATGTCTAGTCAATGTGCCTCTACAAAATGGAGTTCTGCAGTAGGGACAACACAATGAGAGGAGGACGAAGAAGACATGAGATAAAGAAGGATGTTGATTTATGGCGTTCAGGAAGGGTTAAAACTAAATAGTGGGTAAAAATGTTTTGGATCTGTTGGCTTTTCCTCATTAGCTATGCACTTGACATTGCTTTCATACATTGCTTTCATATGTTGTTATGGGTGATCTTTATGGCTTATTAATTTTTTTGGTAGGGGGGATTCCTACAAGGATGCAGCCAAAAAGGCTTACGCACAGGTTCTTGCTCCTTTCCATGGATGGGCTATTAGGAAAGCTGTAGCTGCTGCGATTAATCTCCTTCCCACAACGGGAGATTTATTGAAGAAAGTCAAAGAGGATGGTGAGTTTGTATGTATTTATAGCACTGTTTTTTTCATCCTCCCTCCTCTCTTCTTTTTATTTTGTCAGAACAATTAGGAAACATGCCCAAAGATACGTAGACCACGCTTTGTGGAGTGCTGGTTAGCTCCTCTGTTTCTAACATTCTTTTTCTAACACCATCTTCTTCTCGCAGAGAACTCGGCGAAGACTTATTTGCGGGATTACATTGTTGCTTCAGAAGCTGTCATTCTTTACGTCAATGGACTCTTCCTTTCTAGAGGACTAGGCGTTGATTTGAAAGAAAAGCCATGACACTTAAGTGAGCATTGCACAAAAGCTATACCATTCAAGTTAGCATCATGAGAAAGTTAAGACAAATATGATGTCCTTTTTTCCCATTTCTTATGACTTGGGAAACATATGATATCCGTAGTGATGTATCCATATATACTTGATTGCATAGTAACCTTGAGTTTGTCCATGGATCTTATTTACTTTGAATTTTAGACATTTTATCATTAGAGCAAAAGGTGTACGAGCACGTCATGGTAGTACTATTAAAGGGCTGTATTGTTGTTGTTGGCCTAATCATCATCCCAGGTACCTTCCCCCTTGCAATTGCTATCGCCCGCCGCAACCCTCTCCCCCACCATCAATTGTTGTCGACTCGTCGCATGTCATTGGCCGCTGGTTGCCCACCACCGCACACCGGTGGATGCTTCCATCACCACCAATTGACCTACGGATAAAGTCGCACCGCATTTGGTCCACCACTATCCCCAAGTATTAGTGTCGTGGCCATCACCGACAGCCACCTTGACCCAACATCTGGCACCGTCGCTCGCTTCCATTGCCATCAATAACCGAGTGCCACAGTTGAGGTTTGCCTGACGGCCATCGCCCCACGGTCAATAGTTGCTGCCGTCCTCGATCGTCAAAAAATTATTATTCTAGAAACCCTTGGACAAATAAGGTATCTTTCCAATTTACATGCCAAAAAGAATATTTGTTAAGGATGCGCGGATGATTCGGCCTTTATGTCGTTAAAAAACGTTTTTATTGACAGGATTAATTAATCCAGTGACGTAACATCTGAACGAACTTCTTTCCTTGCATTAACTCGCCTGTCAAACTGTATAAAAGTAACAACTTGATTGGATTGGTAACATCCGAACCAACTTCTCACCTTGCATAAACTCAAGCGATGGCCGACCACCAGCCACTGGGGAAGATGGCCCAGTCGTTCAAGCAGCTCGTGAAGGTTGTGTACTCCCAGATGGCCGATGTCGAAGTGGCGCTTTTCTCTTACGCCTGCTCTCTCATGTCCTCTATCTTCAGCTGCCTTGGCTTCACCTTAAGCCTCGCAAAGGAGGACTATGTCGAAAAGGTATCATTCGATTGCGAGAGTTGCGACTTATATGCGTGTTAGATTCTTTTCCCTGACTCCCTCGAAACATGGAGGTTTAAATTGTTTGGTTATGGAACCGCGTATACTCAGGGGTGTCAATGGGTCAGGTCGGGTTTCCATGATACCCGACCCGACTTGAAACAAGCAGAATGCTTGTGTTTCTGATCCGGAACCCGACCCAAACAGCAAATGACCCAGGCTAAAAGCCCAAGTCAGGTCGGGATCCGAGTATCCTTTTTTTTTCTTTTCAATTCAAAACATGACAATTAAATCCAGCTTTTCGAGCCATCAAACCAGAAAAAGACATACCGAGTGAATCAAGCATCAACCATTAAACCACTATCTGAAAGGATAAGATGCAGAGTTCTAAGCTCCCAAATCAGATGGTCGTACAGGGAATTTAATGGAATATGATGGACTAAATTGAAATTGTTTCAAACTTGACACGAGCAAAAACCGGTAAAAAATAAGACATGGTTCAACTATAACAATCACAAAACCGCAGAGCATTCAACTAAGGAAGGCCTCTCTTGATCGAAAGAGCTATACTTCTCAGTGTGACTTCACATACTCCAAAACGACATGGCGAGCCTCGATCTCTTCTCCAAAATCCTGCAAATTGATAAAATAGTAATGAGCCGCTTGATAAAGAAAATATGCAAGCAGAAACAAACATTCTACACCACTGTTAAGCATCACAGATGACCACTTACCTGTTCTAAACTTATACATGTTAGAAAACTTTCAATGATTTGTCAGCATAATAAGGTTACCACACACCATTGAGAGAAATAAGATAGGCCAACAAAAAGTTAATAAAATTCGGCAGAGATTGTGAAATAAGTACCTTTAAAACAACACAGGAGCAACCGATGACCTTCCTTGCTTTTCCTTCAGAATCAATCTTGCATAACTGCAGAAACAATTCTATCAGAAACCAAGATACTGACAATATATGGCAGCTTCATACTTGATGATTCATTCATCTGCAAAGCTGTATGAAAAGAAACACAAATGGATTGAAAGTAGAACATGACCAAACCATCTCACGACCTTCTCTCATCTTATCTTCGATTTGGGCAACACCTACCTATGTAGTCGTTTCCACATCTAATCACACCAACGTAATTGAAAATGGGAGAAGTACCAGATATTTGAACGGCAATTCGAAAGACTATAGCCACACTAGATTCATTTGGACAATCGCCAAACTTGATAGGGAGCCCCAATCAAAAACTTTTTTTTAAGGATATTAGAATCGGAGATTGGTTTGGGGACCAAATCTGTCATAACATAAATAATAGGAACAATTTATTTTATTCTTTTTGGAGTTGGGCAAGCCGACCCACCCCGGTTCCGCTAGACCGGAGGCCTCATCTACTTAGCATCAAAGCCAAAGTAACCCTTGAACCTACGATATCTAACAATCGGGTCACTCAAAAGTTTAACATCATGTGAAAAAAAGAGAAATATCCTCTACCACGTATAAAAATGGCCTATCTTGCCATTATAATTCCATACAATTCTTTCGGCCTACCTAGAAAAAAATTAGATTAATTTCCAATCTAAATACCCAAATACGCTTGGCCTCTTAAACATACACATAAACTGCAAGAATTGCGATTTTAGCGCCATTCTGTTTTGATGACCCGCTAAAAATAATGCTTGGTTGCTCGTGGTTTTGGCTTAAGGCCGATGGCGGAGGTGATCGATTTTGGGGTATCGTTCAGGGTAGCGAATATGCAGAGCGATACTTCCAGTTGCCCATGATTTGCCTTTATTCTCCTCAGCGATGCCTCGAATCTTCTGACTTGTTGAGGGTAATTCGTTTCTTTATGATGTATTGTGCCGACGCAGCGTCGTTGGTGCTCTTTATGTTTATCTTGTCCTTTCCATTGTTGGCTTACCATTAGTACTTCTTTCAACAGTGAATAGGGAAGCAAAGATGCACATCATTGTCGAGTGTCACGTATACAAGCATCTTTCGCATAACCTTGGTCGTAGTTACAGTTTTTAAATTAAACATTTCCTGGTATGCAGGGGGGAAATGTATCTTCTTCTTCTTCTTCTTGCAACGACAGCCTTTAGTCCGGTAACTCTCCTTTTAGCCACACTTCTTTTTAGATTACAATCACAAGGGTGCAGTTGATACTCCAACCTGCACAATAGAACGGAAATCAGCTCACAGCTTCTTTGGTACATGCACAGAGATTTTGGTGGCTTGTAGTGTACATAGAATAGCTTTTGACGCATTTGTCTGCTTAAAAGATTTACCCACTATAACCAGTTGGGCATTGTCGAAGTGGAAGAGAGAGGAAGAAGGAGAGGAGGAGATGAAAAGAAAACCGCACTTACTCATTCACCTCACCTGGACATGGACGAGGGCATGGACAGTGGAAAGTGGCTTGTTGGGTTCTTGATAGATTTGGGCGTCGTCAAGTGTTCACGTTGCCGTGGAAGAATGATAATCTTTTTTTGACAATTTGACTTTTCCATATTTGGTGGTATGTCAAAGATACAAAGTTCTCTGGACAAGAACTTAATCTTATTTCTGAAAAGTTAAAAGTGATTACAAACTGTGGAATATGTAAGCACAAAACAAGATTACAATTTGACTTTGACGTAATAAGCGCTCTGGCTTATTGACCTTGAATGGTTAAACGTGCTATTTCTGCATGGCTTCATACTGTGACCCAAGATCTAATAGCGGGGGTCTTTTGACCATTATACAAGCATGATACAACAAATTACGTACCGAAGACAATTGCATTAATCATGCGAATGAAAGAACTTATCCAAGAAGAGAAGGAGAAGAGCGTGGACGGCTCCGTTTGACGCGGAGCAAAACCCGACATGGATCAAGAACGGATATAGTGCGAACCCATTGGAACTCGTATCTAGTTCGGCTTTACTGCTCTGTAAGTACAGCAGAAGACTATTAGGGTGCGCATGACAATGTTTCTATGCCGCGGAACTATTTCTACTCAGAAATGATTTTTTTTTATTCTGTGCCCGGAAACAATTTCTAAGCATTTGAAGGCGTTTGGTAATCGTCCAAAATTTCTATTCCCGGGATAGAAAAGAACGTAAATACGTTTAGTAACTACACAAAATTTCTTTTTATTAATAATATTTTAAATTATTTAATATTTTTTTTCTTTTTTTTTCTTTCTATCCTTCCTTCTTTGGCCATGGCCGGTCGCGGCGCCGTGGCGACTGGCCACGCCATGTGGCGTCGCGCCTGCTGCCGCCGCGCCGCCTGCACGGCCTCGCCCAAATCGAGCGAGGCCGAGCCTCGCGGTGGGTCGCGACGGCGAGGTCGGCCTCGCCCAAATCGGGCGAGGCCGAGCCTCGCCGTGGGTCGCGACGGCGAGGTCGGCCTCGCCCAGATCCGGCGAGGCCGAGCCTCGCCGTCGCGACCCACCCGGCGGCCGACCTCGCCGTGGGTCGCGACGGCGAGGCTCGGCCTCACCCGATCCGGGCGAGGCCGACTCGCCATGACCGACGGCGAGCCGCCTCGCCTAGCGGCGAGGGTCCAGCCTCGCTCGCCGGCAAGGGGGACCTCGCCTCGCTGGCGGCCGGCGAGGGCCGTGACGCCCTCGCGGCCCGGGTCGTGGCCTGGTTGTCGGCGACCGGCCATAGCCCAAGAAGAGCAACACAAAAAGAAGAAAAACAAAAAAAAGAAAAAAAACTGATTCTCAAAATTGTGCCGAGAAACAAGAAGCAACTTTTTTTTACTTCTTGTTTCTCTTCCAAAACTGTTTCTGGGCACAAATTTTTGCAAAAATGTGCCAGGGCACAAAAAGTTTACCAAACGCATTTTTGTTCCCAAACTATTTCTGAAAATAAAAGAACAGAAATTTTTACTGTTTGACATGTTACCAAACGGGCCCTTCAATGTATTATACAAATGAAATTTAAAAAAAAAAAAAAGAAAAGACACTGGTGGGGGTCCCATCCATCACCGTTAATCTCTACGCCAAGCCAAGCCAACCCCCGTTAGACGGACAGAATCTTCCTTTTCCATTGCTTGGCTTCTTCATTCGAGATATCACACTCGATCAATCCGTTCTGGAGAAGCGACGTTGCCCCCCCCATTAGAGCAGCTGCAGACGGCGGAGGAGGAGGAGGAGGAGCGATGGGGTGGTGGAGGTGCGGCGTGAAGAGCCTGAGGTACTCGACCATGGTGCTGGGCTCGTCCAACGCGGCGGTGGTGGCCCTGGGCGGGTGTCTCCTCCTCCTCTCTCTCCCCTCCTGCGGCCCTCGCCGGACGCTCCCTTTCGCCGCTGTCGCCTTGGCCGCGGCCGTCCGGATCGTCGCCATGGTCAATACGGGGATCGCCCAGCAAGCCACGGCCACGACCGTCCTCGAGTCTTCCGAGAGCCCGGTCGTCGATGCCGTTATCCGCCATCAGAGACAGGTATTCCTTCGTTCCTTCCTCTCGTTTTTGAGCGAATCGAATTTCAGCTTCATTTTGCTCGGAAACTCGTTTCTCGTTTACCTCGTGGGGGTTGATATTCGTCTTTAGTGGAGAGATGTCTAGGGATGCTTCATTGCGACAGATGACACGTGCTGACTTGGTTTTGGAGGTCTTCCCTGGTCTCCATTTAATTATATAGATTGAATTTCAAGGAATGCTGTTAAATTCTGTTATTGCTTGCTTGAATCTCCTTGCTTCCAGGAGCCTCTGTTGTAGAGCGAGGAAAATGAAAGCTTGATTTTACACGAGTGTGCTGGACCCTGTTATAAAGAAAGGACCACTCTACTCTAATCTTCAGTAGATATGCTAGATAAATTTGATAAATTTTAAGACTTTAGGTCCAGATGTTCTTGCAGATTTCTTCCGACCGTCCTAGTTGCATATATCAGGATCTCCATTACGAAGACAGATTTATCTGAAGACATCCAATATAACCCATTTCATGAGTGTCTAACTTTGTGTCTTTCGCAATTCAAGTTAGAACCCACCACCTGTTTTGCCTTCAAGTTCGGACATGCCAATCTTGATAAAAAATTAAAGTATGCTATATGTTTCTATTTTTCACATTATCCAGCCAGCTTGACAAAGATTTTAAGCAGCCTGCGTACTTGACGAGATCAACTTCACCTGACTGTGGGCACATTCCATACGATTCTAAATCGTTCCTTTCTTTTCTGCATGGACAGACGAGGTATAAAAAATGGATTTGGTGGACCCGATTTGCGACGGTTGTCATGATGGTGCAATTTGTGGGTGCAACTTATCTTGTGCTCAAGATATTTAAGTCTATTTCCCACAATGAAACAACGAGTGACTGCATCTTAGGTGAGGGAATATCTTGCACAAATCTTCGACGATTAAGCCTTCTGTTTTCCCAATTCGATTGTTTGAAGTGTCTTTGAGTGCCGTTGCTCGCTAGTTGACGAAACATTGTTCAGTTGAAGATGTAATGTTTCTTTCCTTTGTTTCACCTCTTTGCATTAGTTTTTATCCATGAATCAACTTGTGCAGTTTAATCGTGTATTACTTTTTGCTATTATGATCATGAGAAAAAAGAGGTAAAATCTAAATGGAATCATTCTGTTTGATTCTTGATTGAAGCATGACTTAGAAAGGGTATCTTGGGCATCGTTTTCTTTGTGTTCATCTGACTATTTTCTACTAAAAGTTATTTAAAGATTTCTGCTTTGCATATGCACGAATCTTCACTCAATCCCTAAGGCTATTAACATGTAGGGATTGTCTCCAAAGGAAGCATGTGGAAGCGGAATATGCTGGCTTTATTCATTGTCATGGTGTGTTTTGTTGCACTACTTCAGTGTTTTACGGGCTCCGATGTTCTAAGGTGGAGATCATTTTATGCAACTGAGGACAATGCATGGAAGGCCCACTATAGGGAGGTATTTGATCATGGCATGCGTGAGGCATTATGCTGTCTTGGACGTGTAAAATACTTGTAGGCTTTTCTCCAACTTTTTTGCCATTCCCCTAATTTACGTCATGATTGGTTTTCTAATTCCACTATGCTTGTCTCTCCAGGAGTGTTATGGATGAAGATGAAGTTTATTCAGTAGCACGAGTACTTGGGGATCTTGTTGCCTATCGTGCATCAGGCACTGGCCACCTGGAACTTTTGGCAGGTTTGCAGATTAGTTTATACAAATTTCTTGGTCAATTGAGCAAAAGAGAGAATGCTGATGTTCAGTAAAAAGTTGAGTTGCATTTGTCACTCCTTTTTTGCATGATGTCAAAACTGTTGGTTTTCTGGAGCTCTGATACTTTACAATTTAAAGTATGTGCTTTGGCACTGATTCTGGAACATATATGGTGTGATGTGCTTCTAGAATACTTACGTTAGGAAATTTGCTCCCCCATCCTTGGCCATTGCCAATAGAGCTGAAAGCTTAAACCGTATGATGCCCCCAGTTTCATCTCATGACGATAGTAGTCCAAGCAACAGAGCAAAGTGCGGAAGTAGCATAAGAGGGAGCTGGCACAATCAGATGGAGAATGAAGATGACCTTAATTTTGTGATTAGTTCTTCTAATATTGTAAAAATAACTCTTTTTTAATGGTTTATCTCCTTTTAGGATTACTTCAAATATGTTAAGGATTTCAAAAGGTCTATATATAGAGAATTTAAGATGACAGGCAATGCTACAGTTGCTTTGGGGCATGCAATTGTGAACTTGCATACTTCTACTTTTTGATGATTATATGTGGGTTCACCCGCTGTCCCGACCTGGCTTTCGTCAATTCTGCTTTCTAAGTAGTTTAAGAGGTCTTTGGGCATTGCACATTGTAGCTCTTATCAGTAACATTTTTGTACATACACTTATGCTTATTCCAATGGTAGGAGACTTTATTGTTTTATTTATGCTGCATTTTCTTTATCTTGTATGGAGAATAAAAGCTGCTTATCATCACCACTCTGCATTTCTGATGGTCATTTCTTTTACGTATATTTTTCTGATTTCATTTCTTTTACAATTTTTCTGATCGTCAGTTCTTTTACATATACTTTTTTTTATTGTCATTGCGTTTCTCTTTTAGTTTACATTTGCATTGTATGAATTATGTCATTTTGCATGACAATTTTCAGGCCTAGCTCTGTTTCAGAGGAACAGTTTTTCATCACAACCTCATGAAGGGCTAATAAATGCACCTAGAGGACAAATCGAGGAGGCAGCCACTCTTCATAAGTTTGCTGAAGCTGCATACACGGTATTTGATATTCTAGTTTATTGAATCATCTCTCGATGAATATTACTATTTCCACTTCAATTCTAATCATCATACTATGCAGGGTCCTTTGCTCGATTTTGGAAGAAATCCCTTCATCTTTCCATGTGCATGGCTCTACAGGCAGGGGATTTTAACTCCCTGGTCCTGCAACAGGTTCTTATTCCATTTGTCTTCTAATGCCTCAGTATATAGTGCCTCTTACCTCCAAGGCTGATGTCGTCTTCTTTCACCTGTTCTTCATCTTTTTAACTTATGTCTTGTCAGGAGGCCAAAACTTCATGGCGATAATTGGTGGCGTGGTCATGCAGCTGCCTTCTTGAAGTATGCTGGTCTGCCTCTTGATGCACTTCGCCAAGGCCGTGTCTGTCAGGTATGTGTAATTTTTCTGAAAAATGTAATATTCCTCTTCATGGATTCTATATATTCTACAAGAAGATCAACATGGTATGGGCACAAGTTTTATCCCGGACAAAACACAATGTTTTGGCTGCTTCCACAATTCTCCAGTTAGAGGTGGCTACATTAAGTATGGACATGAAAGCAAGAACAATGGGAACACCAAACAGTGACGTTAGTTTGACAGGCCTCTGATTTTATTCCACCAAAGATGTTCATGAAAACTTTCTTTCGTTATCTACTGCTTTTTATGGACGTGCATTGTCACGTGTTTTGACGTCCAGAGATTACAAGACGTGGTCAAATTATTCGGGCCAAGGATTACAAGATCGAAACTGGTGTCTTCACCCAGATAGCCAGGAACTATGAAGCAATCTAACCCAAGAGACTTAGCCTTTGCCTTTTGCTTTGATGGAACCTGAAACATGAGAGTAAAGGCCTAATGCCGAGCCAACTCTATCTATCAATTGTTTCCTACACTTTAAAATTCAGCGAACCAAGTAGTGATCTAAATAACTTTGGCAAGATGCTAGTGAAAAGAAAGCAGCAGATATCCCCATTATTGGAAATTGTACATTTGTGATTGCCTAACTACCATTGAGTGCGTAGATATATGTGACCATATTTTGGTGACAAATTCAGTTTATAGTTGACTCTGGGTTAGAGGCGAGTTCAAGTCTGGATTTTCTGTAAAATACCTGTCGACAGCATTTTGCTTCAGTTATGGCAGATTTGGACGGCAACTGATCCTTGCCTGCTGCCACTTATAGTAGGATAATGCTATATCTCACTAACTTCGATCAATTGGGATTTGCAAAATTGAGCCGGGTTGCGAGGGTAAAATAATTGGTTTAAACTGCTTAGCTCCTTTGGACTTGTCAGTTCTGAGGCAACAAGGAAGATGTATTTTAATTTGAAATCTGTACTTGATGGGGTTAATAATTTATGGACAATTAGCACCTGCAGGGTATGCCATAGAGGGAACAGGGTTTTTTATTGTAGCATGCATGGTATTGGAAATTCGCTCAAGTAACATGGTGATCATGTGGATCTACCATTTTTCCCAGGGAATTGCTTATTGAAAGAAGAATGGAACCTTCTCTTGGAAGGTGGAAAGAATTCTTGTAATTCGTAAGTCAAGTAACTGTCATTGAGCAGTATAATCTCATTATTACCCGAGACCAAGTTTAGCTACTATTCATGTTAAAGTGGAATCTTCCAATACAATAATAAGTTTAATTGATAAACATTTAGCAACTGGGAAGTTGAGTTTTTTGAAAGGAATTCCCTAATATGTATTTGTTATGAGTTCAAAAGTTATTTCCTGTCCTTTAAAATGAATTACAACTATGCTGTTTCACTCATGCAAATGTATAGCAACTTTGATGCCTCATTTGCTTATGATAAAAACTCTCAAGTTCGTAACTAAGGGAAGAAGACAACACAGTTTCCTGTGTTATTTTTACGTCTACCGCAGCAGTGATTACTGATTGATCGAGTTATGTCGCCATTTGATAATGACGAAGTACAAGAAGCACAAACTCAAGTCTTATTTGTCAACACTGAGTCTATTATACTTAGTCAGACAGTCACATTCTGAGGACGTGTTCCAATTACGAATTAAAATGCTAGAAAAAGGAACTTGGATAGGTTGCATGATGTTGTCATATAGCTGAATTATTCTCTGCCGCATTAAATTTTCTTGCTTCTAAGCCAAGGTCTGCTTTTCTTTATAAAATTTTGGTTTCCTCTACCAGCTAAAGTACATAGAGAGGCTCATTACCATGCTTATGATGTAATACAAATGGCAATTTCTTGCTTAACTTGACAGTAAGTGATGGGCATGGGCCAGGCTGGGTCTCCAACCACCTTCCTTGCCTTGTGGAGAAAATCATGCCACATCACTGTCCCTTAGGGCAGGTGACCACTCCCCATCCCCATCTCTGCAGGCAGTGCTTTGCAAGCACAAAGTTGAGTTTCTTTACAAATCAAAGGTGGAGAGAGAGAGAGAGAGAGAGCTCAATACCAATTCAAGCAATTTTGAGGAATGCGTATCAATTGCTAATTAAAATGCGCGAGAAAGGAACTTGGATAACAGCAAAGGGAGAGAGAGAGCGATGCAGACTTAATTTCAGGCATTCTTGTAAAAGCGAGGATGAGGGAGCTACTATTATAAAATTTGCCTGAACACATCGTAGGGTGTAGAGAGAGAGAGAGAGAGAGAGAGAGAGAGAGAGTCTGGAGAGGAGTTAAAGAGGTGGCTACGAGTGGAGCTGGGCACAGCTTGCCCATGGATTTTGCTTGTCCCACGAGGCACAGGGCTGGTTTGGGCATTCCCTGTGCCCATGCCTAGACTGTATTTCCCTCGATGATCTCAGTAATGGTGGTGCCAACTCTAGTCAGGATGTTGGTGGCAGAAGTGTTGCTGGGACAGGAAGGGGTGTGATTGGCCAGCCAATGTTTTTGGTGGACGCAACTGTTCTTTTGCTAGTGTGTGGTAGTGACCAAAATTGTGGGCATTGGTTGGTTGACCTCAGTGGGAAGGGGGACCTGACCAACTGTTTAAGTGCTCACTGGTGCCAATGGTTATAATGGCCACTCTTGGACTAACAGAGATGATGGTGGCCAGTGGGCGCACATGGATAAAAGATTAGGGTTTCAGTGACCTACGATATGGGGAAACATAGGTTGGTAAATAGTTGTGCTTGTGTGACAACCTTGGCTGGACCTAATTATGGCAGCATTCGTTCAATTGTTCTTGTTGAAAGCTGTTTAAGTTGGTTGTGGTGGCAATGGTGATCGGTTGATAGTGTAGTGGTGCCAAATGCCAGCAGCTAGACAACAGTGGTGTGGAGATAATGACATGGAGGTGATAGTCGTGGTGGCAGTCACCTACCAAACGTGGCAGCAACAAATGTCATCTGGCGTTGGACTGACATCAGGCTATTTAACAGCTGAGTTGCTTCCGTCCCATTCTCACCCCCAGCAAAGTTTTAAATTTCCATGAGAACATTAACATGTACACCGGCCGCTCCATATATGAGAAGCAGCATATGTTTTTCATATAGTACGATTAACGGAACGGGGTTTGGTTCTGCTAATACTAAACCTGTGGTCAATAAGTGTGGCCCATCTGATGGATTCTCATATTCTGTTCTGGCTGTCTGATTTGATATTCTCTGAAAGACGAACATCTTCAACTTTAGTTTGTAGTGTGTTTATGCTAGACAAGATAAATGTGCTTAATTAATTGGTCATATGAACTCTAGTCCTTTCGATTCATTACCATCTTAAAGCAACTTTGGCTGCTTGCTCAGCGGGCAATACTTAAATGAACAATTTATGAGCACAAAAAAGGATATGCGTTGCCTTGCATTAGTCTCCTTCACATATGGTGTGCTGTGCTCTTGACTTCTGGCCCTTTAAGTACTTGGATTCTCAAAGTTTAACCAAGGAAATCACATCAGCGTGGTATTATAACATACCTAGGTGCCTTTTATTTATTTGGTACGTTAAGTAATTGTAAGCATTTTGATTGCATGCTCTCTTAAAGAAAATATTTCAGTATTTGGAGAAGAACGGTGTTCCTCTTTTTTGCCATGCTTGGTGTCTAACTTAATTCTTTTGCCTAACTGTTGTATATCTTGTTCACTGTGTCCTACCTTCTAGTGATTTATTCTTCTTTTCTTAAATCTTCCAGGAAAAATGTGAGGCTGCATATTTCATAGTTGTTCTCCATCATGCAAGGACGGTTGTAGTTGCTGTTCGTGGAACTGAGACACCTGAAGACCTCATAACAGATGGTTTATGCAGAGAATGCACCCTCTCTGAAGAAGATTTGGATGGATTGATGAGGCAAGCACAATCACCCCCTCTCCCCAATGCATGTGAATAACCTACATTTCTCATGTGACGGGTGTATACCATTGTAAAAAATTGAAAAGATTGGGCGTGATGAAGAACACTGTCCTATATCACTCGTGAAGATTTTAGGGTCACAAGAGGGGGCAAGGTTACCCAAAACGACCATGTTACTACTGAAATGGCTCGCATTGTGATGCAGCAAATTGCTTACTTCAGAATTGCATGAGAGAGCTCTAAGTATAGAGCATCGAGAGACACACAAAACCTCAGTTACTCTAATCAATAACCACTTGCCAGCTAATTCCTAAATTACTAAGGTGCTGTTTATCTGATGAAAATTCTCTAAAATTCTGTTTTCCTTTTCTTGTGAACTAAACACAAGGGAAATGCTTTTGAGATTCAAATTTGAAAACACAGGAACTCTTTTTTGGAATTTAGGCTGGCAGACTGATCGCTTTTTTTAGCATTTATTTGAAAACACTGGGTCTTTAATTTGTCATTGCAATAGTTATTTTACTGGACATCTTCACTTCTGCACAGGTCTACTTCGTCAGTTCACTCGGTCTTCACCTTCGTCTGGCTATTCTGTCTCTCTTTTAAAAGATGAAGCTTAACATAGGCTTCTCTGAAGCCTAAATATTAGTTAGAATTTAAGGTGACTGAAGCACAAAACCATCTGATCATGGTGTCCACACGTGCACATAAAAGAGGAGTTATTAGCCCAAAGAGTATGATGCGATGCCTTTGCTCCCTTCATCATGAAGGTGAAGCTTTGGTTTTAGCTCCCTGGAATATTGAAGAAAGTTTCCTCGTTATATCTTTTTGTTTGTCTTTTGGTTTTTACTATATAAAATTAATTTTAACGCCTCCTTTTTTTATCTATCTGAATCTTTAGTGTTGGAATAATAAGTTGGCACTTCTCAGTTATTTTTGTTGGTGAAAATAATTTGTTTAATGAGTGTATGAAGAGTCTATTAGTGTAAGGAGAATGAACACTAAGTTAATTAGTACATTATATTGATATCGGGATAATTCAAAAATTTACCAAACACTGTTTTAATAATGTTACTTTTTAGAATATAATTCTTTTCCTACATCATACGCATTTAGATAACCCAAAAATAGAAATGAAAACTGTTTTCATTCTCATTTTCTGTGAAGACGAAAATGGAAAATGTTTTCATGAACCAAATATGCCCTAATGTACTTCAAGTGTTTAATAATATCTAATACTATTGGATATATTAAGTAGTATAACAATACGCCAATACTATTAAGTACTATTACTGAATATATTTAGTAGCATTGGATGTATTCCGCGGTCTACCCAAACCTACTAATGCTACTACTACTATTTGGTTTTTAGTAGTAAAGTAATACTAGTATGTATATCCAACTCTTACTAAATACTCGTCAAAACATGAAATAGATTTTGTAATTCAGCAATTAGTTGCGAGTGGGTTTGAATGAAGTAGTTAGGGGTTTGGGAGTCTCTCCACGATCTATACTTAAAGCTCTCTTATGTAATTTTGAAGTAAGCCATTTATTTCATGTGGTAACCTTCTAAGCCTTGTGGAATGCCTCATCTGATGAAAATCCATGCATCTGAACAAAAATTCCGAACCTCATCACATCTCCACATGACCTGGCACTTGGCTATTTGTCGCCATGTCTCTGAGTTGCCATTATCTACTCCACTGAGTTAGATATCACGTCATTTTAGTGGGCAACGTGAGAAGGATACATGTTGACACCTATTTTCCTTCTAGAATTTGGAGAGAATGAGCTTGAATTGGTGATAGTTTGCAAGAATACTCCTGGTTGTCCTTGGCCCTATAATAATATATATACATCTATCAGGGTCTGAAATCTCTGCTTGTATTGGAAAATGTTAATTGCTCTAAACCTATCTTGCTTTCTTTCTCTCATTCTTGTGAAACAATCTGACACGAACTGCAAACTGCAGTGACCCTTGCTCCGACATAAGGCAAAATATCGAAACCTCTTTCCCCCATTATGGGCACTCTGGGATCGTTGTGGCTGCACGAGAACTTTTTCTGCAAATTGAAGGAAATCCTAGAAACAATGGTTAGTTTACTTTCTTTTTCCGCCGATACTTTGTCTACAATTGTCAATATAGTGGTTGTGGGGCATCATAGCCCGTGCTTTTTACATGGAGTAAGTTTGTTTGAGGTGTGGCTGAAGATCTTTTAGGACAGGATGGTTAGCTGTGTTACTGCTATCAAGATCTCTTCATGGGTACAATGTCCAGACATACCTTGAAGAGGGGAGGGGGGGGGGGTGTTTGGAGAGAGAGAGAGAGAGAGTTGTGGCTATCCGATATACAACAACATAAAGCATCCTTTTTGCTTCTTTAGTTGTTCAACGGATGCAAAATTCTCTATATTTGTTTCATAATTGTACTGTATCATCCAAAGTAACTCTATCCATTGTTTTACAATGTTTAACGAGTGAATAGTGTTTACCTCAAATTATTTTCTAAACTGTTGTGTTTCATAAGCTGTGTCCTTACATGGACTCAATGAGGAGTTGCTTAAAAATGAGAACAAATGCTCTGAAAGTAAGCTTAGTCGTTTTCCATTTTTACATGTTAAGATTCTACTCTACTTGCTCATCTGCAATCCCTACTGTGAGAAAGCTGTAAGACTCTTTTGCCTATAATTCTGTGACGGATTTCCAAAGTTTCCAACAAAGGCTTAGGTTGAGTTTGTCAGTCCACTGAGTACAGGAATATATTTTCAATGTCTACTGAGTACTCATCAAGTATAATATTATCGAAGTTGTGTAGACTTCATGGAAAATAAGATGTTGGCCATAGATTAGCCAAGGGGTTTTCCTGCATTTCATTTCTCATAAAGAAGTGTGACGGAATTTCATGCTTGTATGTACTGAATGATAATTGCATCTTTCTATCCAAAAGATAACTTAAAATTTTGGCTGGTTCTTTCACTCCAAGAGCTGCTTTTTCCATTGAAGAATTTTATGAAATGAATTTAATTTGTCCTTTCTTTCATGTGCTATTTGTGAAGCAGGAGACGAGGAGCCCACATTCAGGAGCCATCTGTCCTCATTGATGGGTCCGGGATGTGAGTGTGATGGTTATAATTTGCGGATAGTGGGGCACTCACTTGGAGGTGCCATTGCTGCTATGCTAGGCCTTCGAGTATGACCATTCCACTCATAGTTATTTGTTTGGCTCTCACACTGCTTTACCCATTATGCTTCTAATCATACTGAAGAGACTACATGTGAAAGTAGATAGCTTATATGTACTACGATAGAGAATAGAATTTGGAAAGATTAGCCATGTGTACATACATTATATTTAAATTTGCAAACTAGGAAACACAAGATTATAGAATATTACATAATCTGTATATACCATATTCATGAATTACCTTCAAGCTATGTCTTATTCCTCATACTCCCCCTAGAGTTAGGGCACAGATTTCATGTATGCTAGATTGTTAAATACAGGCTTGACTCAGGGACCATTAAGCACTTTAGTGAACATATCTGCTAATTGACCACTAAAGCTAACTAATGTCATTATAATTTCCCAAGATTGTAACTTTTCTCAAAAAAAGTGGTCACCATCTATGTATTGGTCTTCCCATCAAAAACAGGAATTTGAAGCTACGTACATAGCTGCCTAATTATCACAGAATAGCTTCATCGGTTGAGGTTGTGTCACGCCCAACTCCTTTGAAAAATGTCTCGACCAATTTAATTCGCAAGTGGTTATAGCCATAGCTCTATACTCAGCTTCTCCATTGAAACAAGTTCCCACATTCTGTTTCTTGCTCTTCCAATAGATAAAATTTCCTCCAAATAACACACAATAACCGGCAGTAGATCTCTGATCAGAAAGTGAACCAACCCTGTCAGCATCGATGTGAGCAATCACTTGAGCATGGCCTATATCTTAATATAACAATCTTCTCTCAGCCTCTCTCAATTGCACATTTAACATACAACAATTCAGCTCATTACATTCCAAATAGTTTTAATTGGTGAATCCAGGAATTGACTCACTACACTAACAAGAAAAGATATGTCTGATCTTGTAACTCTGATATAACTCAGCTAACCGAACAGCCTGTGGTATCTTCCTAGATCAGAGAAAGGCTTCCCCCCTCCTGATAATAACCTAACATTTGGAGCCATTGGAGCAGCAACAGGCTTCTGAGATATATAGATATCACATTCAGATTCAGCAATCTCAGCAAATACTTCAGAGGCCCCAAATCTTTGGTTTGGAATTTTGAATCTAGTTGGCTTTAAGCTGAGTGATTCCATCTATATCATGTGATGGCAATATCACTAAAATATACTACTAGAAGCATGTGTCGCATGTCGTAATGTTAGTGGAATAGAGAATGGTTAGAATAACTGGATTTGAGACAAAATCCCAAACAACTGAACTGAGTTGTCTGAACCAAACTCAAGGTGACCGATGGGGCCCATAACCCACAGGTCATGGGATCAGAACCTCGTTTTGATACCATGTGACTATAGAGAGTAGGAATTTGAGAGAAAAACCATGCATGTCGAATTGAGCACACGTTTCATATATTGACATGACAAACAACGAAACACAAGTTTATAGAAGTTACATACCATATTGACAAATGTCCCCTTATGCTATGTCTTATTGCTAAAACGCATGAATTAACTTATGTAAAAGGGCTAAACTAGAATGATAGATATAGATACTTACCTCTAGGTAGAATGCTGCGCTCTAAATGCATGGCCTGCATCACTTTTGCTTTGAATGGTACTAGAAAATGAAAGTTGTCCCAGTTAGTGTATCATTTTAGAGTTATATGATACCTCTTGACAATGCATAGACTATTTGTTGAGTAATGAGGAGCCTGGCTCAGTTTTGTGGAATTTAACACGTGTGGGTGTTTTGATAGTTGATTACATAGACAAGGCATTGATGAAATGAAATAAAAAATCGGGAAAGTACTTTGACTTAAAAAAGCATGCATAGTATTTTTTTCTCTGAAAAAAAAAAAAAGCATGCATGGTATTTGCTGGTTTGGTTGGTGTATTGTCCTTGACTAATGAGTGGGGAGGAGATACTGTTTTATGTGGCATACTGCAAGTATTTAATGTATTTTGGGGGTGTCTCTCTTAGGAGAAGTCGATACTTGTTTTTTTCAAATATTTGTGATGGGTCTTCACTTTCACGTGATTTGTCTCCCCTTTTATTAGGTTTGGAGCCAAAGAAAGTATTCATATCGGTCAGTTAGAATACATATAGTGTAGTGTTTGAACTTAATATGATTTTGCTGATAACTCCTGTTCATACTGCAGCTGTATCGTCGCTATCCAAATCTCCATGTGTATGCATATGGAAGCCTTCCATGTGTTGATTCAGTGGTGGCAGAAGCCTGTTCGGATTTTGTGACAAGGTAATCTCATAATCTGCAAAACATGTTAGGTTGTTTTCCTTTGACTTTCTGTTTTGAAGGTTTGAGCTTTTTACAGCATTGTATACGACAATGAATTTTCTGCACGCCTTTCAGTGGGATCGATCCTCCGACTTCGTGCAGCTGCCATTATGGCACTTTCTCAAGATTCAAAAACTGATACAGCATTGATCTATAGACTCGCCCGTCGATTTCTATATCTCGGCCAGTATCAATCACGGGGAATTAAAAAACTCTCACCTGGCTCGGTATTTAACTCTGATCCAGTCTCAACTGGAGAACATGGTCCAAACGTTTGTGGGGGCCAATATTCTAATAAGGATAAAGGTATAATTCTTTCATCCTTCGCAAACTATGTAGTGTCAACATGACTAGGATATGTCGCTGTTGCTGTATCTCTCCCATCTTATTACCCTTAATTTGGTTTTAAAATTTGTGAATTTATAGTTCTGAGAAAGATCCTTAAGGTAAATGGTTTATTTCTTTGAGAAGGAAGGAGAACTATGTGTTGAGAGGCTCCAAGGGGAGACTGTTCTATAGAGGATTGCTTAGGAATCCACCAAATCCAACACGAGGAGCATGAAGATTTGGTGCTATGGTGTAAAAAAGAAAATGAACTGTGATTGTCTCTTAAAACCGTCTTTACTTCCCCTTTCTCGAAATCCTAAGTTCCCACTGGTAAGAAATTGTTGAATGATAGGAATAAAGCAAAAGCCTTTCTTTTGTTTCTGTGAACTCTAATAGTAGCCGAGCTCAACTATTCATCCTGAACCCTGATGCTTGTAAAATGCCAGATGCATATTCAAGAAATGCTGATTCAATGGAAATAAATGAGCAAAAAAATGAATACTCAAGATTAGCTTATGTTGTTGGCCAAAAAAATATGTAATAAGTGACAGAAAGATAATTGGAGCTGACTGCATTTAATTTGTTAAAGTTTTACTACATTGAAGAGTCACAAGTGTGAACTCCAATCTGAGCCAGATGTGCTTAATTCATGGTATCTCTTTTGTGCATTCCTTGTTGAGCTTGAAGTGGAGCAGTGATTACTTATTTTAGACATAAATCCGAAAACTAAGGTAGTTTCTGTTAACAATAGCGTAATTTACCAGTGCAGGTTGAATTCAGTATGAGTATCGCTTCTTTTTGTTTTAGTTTTTTCAATCATACATGATTATTTTGTTGCAGGAAAGGAGGAACATTTCAGCGATTTGTTCCTCTTGGGGCGGCCAGCTGTGAAAGAAATGGTTGTTGATGTTGACCATGCCAATCTCACCAGCCCTTTTGAAGATGACATTTCGATTGCAAATTCATTTGGTGATCCTGTGACCGAATTTATGGAGACTGTCCCAAATTCTAACCATACTTCAGCTGATGATCCAAAAGAGATGTTTCTACCAGGTCTCATTGTCCATATAGTTCCTGATAAGAGGAGCTTGGTCGCTCCCATTTGGAAAGCATTGACAATCAACGAGATGCCACAGAAATTTAAAGCATATATATCAGACAGAGAGACTTTCAAAGATATTGTGGTCTCCCCTTCAATGTTTCTTGACCATCTTCCTTGGAGGTACTTGCATGCGTTTTTTCCTTTTTATAACGGGATTGTTGTATGTTGCCATCGTGTTGACTGGGTATATGTATACCAGATGCCACAATGCTCTGCAAAACATATTGGCTGCTCAAGACTCTGATATATGAAACGGCATATCTTTTGGGGAACTTCTGTCAGATCAACGAAGACATGGGTTATTATGTCCATAAGCTGCAGTGTTTGCTTTCAAGACTTCTGGACAAAGCTGCGTGACAACTCCTGCTAAGTGCACAAGTTGACCCGGAGGATTTCTGGAAGTAAACTTAACACACTAAAAGAATTATCCGCGTTGGTTCTTGTCATTTGATTTCTTGTATAGGGAACTAACAAAATTGCTTCTCCTCAGTGAATTACTTGAATTAGGAAACTAACTGTCTGGGGTAAGTGCTAGTGAAGTGTCGGTTACCTATTTTTTTCTGGAAGAGCATTCATGTTCTCTGGCCTGCTGCAAAACTCAACTGCCACTGCCACTACCACTGCCAGTTGCTTTCACAGAGGAAAACCATGACCTGATGCGTGATGTATGCTGCTAAAATTTGTTTGCTCTCAACTTCGATTAGTATCAGCGGCATACGAATTATGGATATCATTTAAATGTAAACTTGACAAAATATAAATATGGGTGTCGTCCATTTTCATAATCCAATAATCAAAGACTAGTTGGAGGAAGTTTTCCCAACACGAAAGGGTGGTTACTTGTCCCTTAATCAATAGGTCGTGGGCCTTAGCCGCTAATGCCTAACTCACACTTTGTGGCATGAAGACAATTTATAATCTAATTGACTAATAAAAGTAGATTTTATATTAAAGTGCGATGATAAAGTATGCTTATATTTTTTTATTTAGATATTAAAAATAATAACAAGTGCTATTGAAACAACCTTTTATAGGTAAAGCATTTTAAATATAATGTGCGAAGTTTCATCTTTTTTCAAAGACACCAAAAGTTAAGTATTTCTTGACTATTTAACTTAAGAACTTAATTTTATCAGAGGTAGTGAGTTATTACTTGTGTAAAATGGAATTTATTGTGTTAAGAATGAAACAATTCCTATTCATCATTAAAATTACAAAAAAAAAAAGGGATAAAATGATATTTGATTTTTTTTGGTGGGTTATGAAAAAAAAATATGTTTGATTGGGATGGATATAACAAAAGGAATGTATAATAAAAATAGTTGCAAAACCAAAAGTTAAAAAGAATGGCCACACCTTAACTGTGATCTTGGGGTTTATGCCGTATTTCCAACCCGAAAGAAATTAAAATAAGGGTTCTTTTGATTGATGCCGTATTTACAAATTGTTTTTCTGGATGGAATGATGTTCTGATTTTTGCCTTGCGAAACAGCAGAATTGTCCCTCCCAGATAATGAAATTTGCTCTTTTTCCTCAAAGCTCTTGGCATAAAAGTGGGTCGATCCACTCGTCTCTCCAAAAGAGGGTACCTATAATATTTAGGAAAAAATCCATAAAAAAACTCACTATGACACATTTACTTTGAATTTTTTTGTGACATCAAAAATTCCAAACTATACCCACTGTAAGACATTTACCCTAAAATTTTTGTTATGACATAAAAAAACCCTCAAATTGTATATATGTGACACATTTACTCTCCATCAATGTTCCATTAGATGATTTTTCAGCCAAAATAATATCATTTTTATTTTACTTAAGCCACGTGAATGCTTGTAAACACTGTTTGCTTTATGGCGTCCATGTAGCCAATCAACAGTTCTCACTAACAGAACTTCGACGGAGGATAAATATGTCGCATAGCATACAAGTTTAGAATTTTTTGTATCACAAAAAAAAAATTATAGTAAATATGTCACAATTGGCACAGTTTAAAGTTCTTGATTACTTTTTCCATTTACCTATTAACTCGGCTTGAAACTGTCTTCATATAAGTAGGGTCGGTCCTCTCGTCTCTCAAAAGAGGGTACCTATAATTTTTTATTGCAGTGGCTACTAGATTTTATCTAAAACACTTTCAATCCCTCTTTAAATTGGTCGATCAAGTTTTTTGCTTGGAAATGGACAAGGGATGTGGGCAGAATCTTCACAAGCTTGGTGGCATATGCGGTGGACGGAGGAGGAAATGAAATGTGATTTCTTTAAATAAAAGAGGGACATTCATGCAATAAATCATAAGACAACAATAGTGGCATGTGTGCAAAATCACCACTTTTATTAAAGCGAAATCCCCTCCGGCCTAAGCCTAAGACTCTAGGCTCCCCCCCTCCCCCACAATTGACCATATTTATAATTTCTCTGTTTTGGATAAAACGAGACGGTGAGCCGGAATATTGATGAATTTGGGGTTCGACCAAAAAACAAAATTGGGGTAAAAAAATTTATATGTTCTTAATTGCATGTAAAGAAGAACATTACATGATAAATAAAAAAAGTACAATGATAAAAGATGCTTTTATTTTTTATTTAGATAAAAAAACAAAGACTGTTATTGAAATAAAATTTTATAATAAAGCATATAAATTTAATGTGCGAAATTTCATCTTTTTAAAGACACCAAAAATTAATTACATCGTTACTATTTCACTTAAGATAAGGAATAAATTTTACAAGAGATGGTGAGTTTTTACTTGTGAAAATTAGAATCAATCGTGTTAGGAACCGAACAGTTCTTATTTATCATTAAAATCACAAAAGGGTGAACCAAAATGATGTTTGATTTAGATGTATATAACAAAAGGAATAAGTAATAAAAATGGTTGAGAAATGGAAAAGGTAGGCACGCCAGAAGCCACCCTTGGAACTGAAGCTACCTAGCATGTACGACGATGCACATAAACATGTTGAGACCTAGAGCCATCCAAATTGAATGTGGTATGGAATGTCTAACTGCCCTACATGTTTGGCAAACATGCCAAGATTCCACTCAGGCTACTTGGCTTAGGAAAAAAAAAAAAACCCTAAGTGCGTTCACAATGTTAACGAGGCAGAGAAAGCAACAAAACCCTAATCTGAAAAGACAATTTCTATACATCAAGTGGTGTGAATATAAAAGATTTTAAGCAATGAGGAACTGAAAACTACGTACTGCTTTATTATTTACATATTCTCCACCGCGAACAAGAATTGTTCTTGTCAATTCCCTCAGCCATGTCCAAACCAACATGTGCGTAGAGGCTCTAGATCGCACCACCAAAGAGTATGCCTATGTTGTCCACTGCATGGGAGGCAACAGACATTTCAAAAGTAATCTCTTAGTGTTCTTTTCAGCATCCTGCGTTTGTCTAAACACTCAAGAAGGGCCGCAACAAGTATGCCAAAAGGTTTTTGTCCTTAACCCAACCGACCACATAAAATAACCCCTTCCAACTTTGAATGCTCCGTCGATTCCTCGCCGAACATGTAGAAAGATTTTTCTGGAGTGTGTATGTAATATAGTATCGGACTTGTCCCTGAGAGTTCCAGTTTGTAATGCTGTTTTTTTCTCTTCTTGATTAGTTCTTTTTACTGAGATTTCGCAATAGATTCGAGAAGACATTTATTATACTAACACAATTGCTTGTCTTATGAAAGAACTCAGAGTCCTTACTCTGATTCAATTACCTGGCGCCGATCCCATAAGTTTGCTCCAGGTTTCGATACCTTCTTCAATCATGGGATGACTATGCTAACATTTTGTACCTCAAATAATTATTAATTTAAGTCCTTTTCCAGCTCCACTGAAGGGCCGTAGTCTCAGTACACATTATCTTTTGTTTTTCTTGACAATATTCAAGGCTTCGATTCATTTTTTAAATCAAGAAACTTCTACCAAGAGGCAGTGTTACCTTGACCTCAAGTGCATTTGCTATTAGTCTATCCAAAAATCCTTCATGTATAAAAGGATGCATGCATGACCCTGATATATCCCACGCATCTCTCTCTCTCTCTCTCTCTCTCTCTCTCTCTCTCTCTCTCTCTCTCTCTCTCTCTCTCTCTCTCTCTCGCTCTCTCAAGTCTCAACCCAGGTATGAATCTTGGTGCATTCTCATGGGACATTATGATGGCCAGGTGCCATTCGTTGGGCAATAAATCTCCAACCATGAAACTTTTATGGGCTCCTACGCCATATTCTGTTATAGCTTCGGCTGTTTCATCTAAATCCAATGCAGTTGCAGACCCCTTGATCTTATCCCAACATGCATGCACCTGGAGAGACTTGCAAGGCTCCACCCACTGGGAGAACCTCCTGAATCCCTTACACCCTCTTCTCCGTCATGAGATGCTCCGCTATGCTGAGTTTGTCACCGCCTGTTACAAGGCTTTCGACCTCAACCCCACCTCCAAACGCCACTTGAATTGCAAGTATGGGAAGGCGAACATGCTTGGACTGGTTGGCTTGGAGGATTCCGGTTACCAAGTCACCAAGTACATCTACGCCACGCCAGACATAAACTTCCCCATCCAAAATAGGGTTCCTCGTGGCCGTTGGGTTGGATACGTCGCAATATCATCCGATGATGAAGCGGTCAAGAAGCTTGGAAGGAGGGATTTGCTGATAGCCTTTCGTGGAACCGTGACAAACTATGAGTGGATTGCAAACTTGATGAGCTCGCTTACTCCAGCACGACTCGACCCGCATAATTTGCAGCCGGAAGTGAAGGTAGAGTCCGGGTTCCTCAGTATGTACACATCGAAAGAGAGAAGTGATAAATTCGGATTGGGAAGTTGTCGCAAACAGCTCCTATCCGAGGTATCCCGACTTGTGAACAAGTACAAAGAGGAGGAGATAAGCATAACATTGGCCGGTCACAGCATGGGGAGTGCACTGGCTCTTCTTCTTGCATATGATATTGCCGAGCTTGGAATTGCAGATACATGTGATCATCGAGATATACCACTGACGGTCTTCTCGTTCGTGTTGAGCGTCAGAGGCGCGGCAACAATATTGATTTGATGGAAGAAATTTTTTAAGGTGAAACGATCGCAATTCGCGCCTTTCTATTGCATGTCTCAATTACAAGAGAAATAGACTATATATAAATCATAGTTTGATTCGAAATAGGAAACCTCTTTCTAGGAAACCTATTCTAATTAGGAAACCTACTTGACTTAGGAAACTTTCCTAAAATATAACTAGAAATAATATCTCACAATATCTATCAAAATATGGAAATACGAACAGACTCAAAAAGGAAACAAGTACTAACAAATTTGGTTTAATTTCTAACACTCCCCCCTAAACCAAATTCTCTTCCATCGATCATTCCAAGCAGGCTCTTGAACTTTCGAAAAACATCGATCTTGAGAAGTTTAGTAAAAATATCTGCTACTTGATCTCCGGTCTTCACATGCAATACTTCAACTTCATTCTCTTTAACCTGTTCTCGGATGAAGTGATATCGAACATCGATATGTTTACTTCGTTCATGAAAAACTGGATTTTTCGCCAAAGCAATAGCAGAAACATTATCAACAAAAATCTCCGTTACTTTCTTCTGCTCCATAAAAATATCTTTGAGTAGTCTTCTCAACCATATTGCATGACAAATGTATGAAGATGCAGCTACATATTCAGCTTCACATGTCGACAGAGTAACACTTGATTGCTTCTTTGATGACCACGTGAAAGCAGTGTCGCACAAGAAAAATACAAATCCCGTGATGCTTTTTCGATCGTCGATATCTCCACCATAATCACTATCCGAATAAGCTCTAAGTTTGAAAGATTCAGAGCAATAATAGTGTGAACCATGAGAAATAGTACCTTTGATGTACCGAAGTATTCTCTTTGCAGCTTTAAGATGAGATGATTTCGGCTTCTCCATGTATCGACTAACAATTCCAACACTATACATAATATCCGGTCTCGTGCATGTCAAGTATCTCAAACTTCCAACCAAGCTTCTATAATATGTCGAATCAACATCGGCACCATCATCAAACTTTGAAAGCTTGGTTCCACACTCCATTGGTGTATTGACCGGCATACAGTTCTTCATGTTGAATTTTTCAAGGATATTTTCTGCATATCCTTTTTGAGAAATAAAAATCCCATCGGCACTTTGCTTCACTTCGATACCAAGAAAATAATTCATGAGACCATTATCGGTCATCTCAAATTCTTTCACCATCGATGCCTTAAAAGCATCAATCATCGCCGAATTATTTCCTGTAAAAACAAGATCATCAACATATAAACAGGCGAGTAGAATATCACCTTTTTCTTGCTTCAAATAGAGTGCATGCTCCTATGGACATTGAGAAAATCCATTCGCCTTGAAATATGCATCAATTCTGGAATTCCATGCTCTCGGTGCTTGTTTAAGCCCATGTAGAGCTTTCTTCAACCTTAGCACTTTGCCTTCATAACCTTTCACAACAAACCCCTCGGATTGTTCAACATAAATTTCTTCTTCAAGGATGCCATTCAAGAATGCTGATTTGACATCCATTTGATAAATCCGCCAATTATTTTGAGCAGCAATGGAAATAATCAATCTAATCATTTCCATGCGGATGACAGGGGCAAAAACTTCATCATAGTCGATTCCGGCTTTTTGCTTGTACCCCTTCGCGACTAATCTAGCTTTGTACCTTGTTACTTCACATTTCTCATTCTTCTTGGCCTTGTACACCCATTTAACACCAATTGATTTCTTGTCCTTTGGAAGATTAGCAAGCTCCCATGTTTGATTTTTCTTGATGGCTTCAATTTCTTCGTTCATGGCTTTCCTCCACTTTTCTTCTTTGGCCGCATCATCATAAGCAAGTGGTTCATAATCTGCAAGAAGACATATAAGATGAAGCTCTTCGGTAGCTTCGTAAATTTCAGACAATCTTCTTGATCTTGGCACTAGCGGTTCATCGACACTATTTGAAGAGGAAGGTGTTGATAAACTTGAATAAGATATTGGAGAAGAAGGTGAAGGTTGATCTTTCAACTCCGTTTGATTGGAATCACCACGAACATTTGCTTCTTCTTTTGGATTTTCTTCCCACATTCCATCTTCATCGAACTTGACATCTCTACTTACATACTCTTTCAAAGTGTTAGGGTCAAATAATCGATAGGCTTTGGATGATGAGTTATACCCGATAAAGATGAGCTTTTTGCTCTTGTCTTCAAATTTCGATCTTTTTTGGTCTGGGACATGAGCATAGGCAATGCTCCCGAAAATTCTCAAGTGCGAAACACTTGGTGTTCTCCCGGTCCATGCCTCTTGTGGAGTTACGCCTTCAAGTCCATATGTGGGACATCTATTTTGAAGATAAGCGGCACACGAAACAGCTTCAGCCCAAAGTTCATCTGACAAATTTTTGCTCTTCAACATGCTTCGAACCATATCAAGAATGGTTCTATTTTTCCGTTCAGCCACACCGTTTTGTTGAGGAGAATACGGGGCCGTCAAGAAACGCCGAATACCATGATTTTCACAGAATTTGTTGAATATGGCTGAGGTGAATTCTCCACCACGATCAGTCCTCAAAGCCTTAATAAAATAGCCGCTTTCCTTTTCAGCCAGGTTCTTGAATTGTTTGAAAGTATCAAACACTTCTGTCTTTTCTTTCAAAAAATACACCCAATTTTTTCGAGTAAAATCATCAATAAAAGTAACAAAATATCGATGATTACCATATAAGTGAGGATTGATTGGGCCACACAAATCAGAATGAATCAACTCAAGCGGCATCTTCGCTCGATAAGTCGCCTCCTTTGGAAAGCTAGTTCTGGAATGCTTGCCGATAACACACCCTTCACATAATTGATCAGGATAATCAATATGTGGTAAGCCATAAACCATCTTCTTGCGAGAAAGCAAATTGAGTCCGCCAAAATTGAGATGACCGAACCTCAAATGCCACAACCATGAAGGATCATCTACGCACGTCTTTAGACATCGAGACATCTCACTCTTTATATTAAGAATAAACATCCTGTTCTTCGACATCTTCACATTTGCAATCAATTTATTATTCCGATCTCTCAACATAAGATTAAGATCTCTCATATGAACAGTATAACCTTTCTCCAGAAGTTGTCCCAAACTCAAGATATTGCTTGACATTTTTGGAACATAATAAATATTAGTAATAAACTGACGTGCACCATTCTTTAAGCGAATCAAAATTGTACATTTCCCTTCGACAAGAATTTTAGAGTTATCACCGAATGAGACATTCCCTTTAATTGTCTCATCTAACTCGGCAAACATCTCCTTTCTCCCACACATGTGATTACTTGCGCCAGTATCCAAATACCACGTATCGCTTTGACCTTCTTCACATTCTTTGAATGCCAATAAGAGAACTTGATCAGCGTCATTCACCAAGTTCGCCTTTTCGTCTGCTCTGCTACTTTCTTTGTTCCAGCAGTTAGAAGCATAATGGCCAAGTTTATTGCAATGATAACATCGGATTTTAGATTTATCATACCATTGGCTTGTCGAGTTCTTTCCTCTTCCACGAACACCTCTTTGGTACTGGTATCCTCCATCACTTTGAGCAGGATCTCCTCTGCTTCGTCCACGACCTCTTCCTCGAAAGTGACCTCGGCCACGACCTCGATCACGATCTTGATTTGTCCCGCGATTTTATACGAGATCTCTTCTTTGCTCCTTTTCATCTCGAATGGTCAATTGCGTTTGGAGAACTTCCTCCACCGGTTCAATCTTTTTCTTTCTAAACCTTTCTTCATGGGCTTGTAATGAACCCATAAGTTCATCGATCGTCATGGCATCCAAGTCTTTGGATTCTTCGATTGGAATCGCAATATAATCATACTTCTTGTCTAAGGACCGAAGTATTTTCTCAACAACACGAACATCGGAAACGTCTTCTCCGTTTCTTTTCATCTGATTAACAATTGCCAAAATTCTCGTGAAATAATCAGCAATCGATTCAGATTCTTTCCTACGAATTACCTCGAATTCACCTCTCAAGGTTTGAAGGCGAATCTTCTGAACTTTCTGAATTCCTTGATGTGTGTTTTGAAGAATCTCCCATGCCTCTTTAGCGGTAGTGGCGTTCGAAACTTTTTCGAACATGGAATCATCTAACGCTTGATAGATGATCGACAGGGCATATTGATCTTTCGTTCGAGCCTTCTCCAAGGCATTCCTCTGATTCTGGTTCAACGTGGCTTCATCCTCTGGCTCATCATAGCCAGTGTTAACAAATTCCCACACACCGTAGGCGCCGAGTAGAGCTTTCATTCTAACAGCCCAGTTACCATAATTTTCTTTGGTAAGCCGAGGGTATTGAAGAGGAAGCTGATTGTTCGTTGATGGCCTCAACGAACAATTTGTTGATCACGAACCGTAAGCTCTGATACCAATTTGTTGACCGTCAGAGGCGCGGCAACAATATTGATTTGATGGAAGAAATTTTTGAAGGTGAAACGATCGCAATTCGCGCCTTTCTATTGCATGTCTCAATTACAAGAGAAATAGACTATATATAGACCATAGTTTGATTCGAAATAGGAAACCTCTTTCTAGGAAACCTATTCTAATTAGGAAACCTACTTGACTTAGGAAACTTTCCTAAAATATAACTAGAAACAATATCTCACAATATCTATCAAAATATGGAAATACGAACAGACTCAAAAAGGAAACAAGTACTAACAAATTTGGTTTAATTTCTAACAGTTCGGAGGCCCTAGAGTTGGCAACTCGGGCTTCAAGAAACGTTGTGAAGAGTTGGGGGTCAAAGTGCTGAGGATAGTGAATGGCAATGACCCGGTGACAAAACTACCTCGCATCTTGTTGAATGAGAATTTCGGGCTTTTGGGCAAGTTATTCGCTGAATCTCCGTGGAGCTGCTCGTTTTATTCTCATGTGGGTGTTGAGTTAGCTCTTGAACAGAGCCCGCGCTCGTTCTTGGACTTGCAAAGCCCTTCCTGGGTTCATGACATGGAGACCTACATCAGCTTGCTCCAGTATCCTCACGCAACACAACATAAGAGGATTAATTGATTCAGAAACTGTGCAAGTAACTTGACGAAGAGGCTACGATCGGGACGGAGTCTCAAACAACGTGACTCTTGATTCCTAGACGTTGAACTGTGCTGTCATAGGGAAACCCAAAGTTAAAAATTTAGTACTCAAACGCGGTGTATTCAAGTCACTCACAGGTCTATTCGTATTATAGGTGCAAGGAACTAACAAGACTATTTGGTAGCATGCCATAAGGTTCTGCTGTTGCAGTAGTGTTTTCTTAGAGCTGTTCTATTTATTCCAACGTACTTCTTCTTCTTTTTTTGACATTCCAACCTACTCGTAGGCTGGATTTTTGGTGCATTCCACATAGTGTGGTGCAGAAATTTTGCTTTCTTTTTGTTTTTTTTTCTTTTCGCTTCTTTTTTTTTTTTTTAGGAATCTGCCAAGTGTATTCCTGGACTTTAGAGCTCCTCAACGAGGAGTAGGCCCGCCTGAGTAAACCCATCCTTTTCGCTTCTTTAGAGTACCTTCTCTGTAGATCATCCTTAGTTAATTAGTGTCAGTCGTATGAAAGATTTTGCATCATCTTGCATCCTTTTCTTGTGAAGGCCTGAGCTTTCATCAAGTGAAATTCTTCATATTTTGTGAGCTCATGCCCGGTCCTTTTCTTCGGTTTTGAATCGGGCCGGGCCAGCTGTTTGGGCCGAGCGACATCCGACCCCACAATTTCGGGCCGGGACCATTTTTGAATGAAAGCCCGTCTCTCGGCCCAAATTTTGTAAGACTGTCCTTTTTTTGGGCTATCCCAAAAAGGTGAATGGACCCGATCGTCAGGCCCACTCCCGGTCCAATGGACAGAAAACTGGTTTGCTTTCCGTACCGCATCTCAATGGTCCTAATAATCCTACTGATAAGTGATAAGGATTTTATTTTTTTTTTGGTTGAATAAGTGATAAGGATTCACTTCATTAATTCCTTACAGAATGTCACCAGATTGACTCTTTAGACACCAAATGACGTAACGTTCAAAATTCAGTTTTAGAATACATTTGTTTCATGAAAAACTCGATATTCAAAAAACAATCACTTGCGTCACTTACAAAAATGAATGAATGAGAATTATTTCCATCATCTATGAAAATAGTTGGGCATGAATTGTTGTTGTTGTCAAAAATGAAAACATTTTTTATTGACTAATTTTTCTAAGTGATATAATTAATCATTTTTCGGAAAATATTTTTCAAATCCTGAGTTTTTCGGGAAACAAACGCACCCGTAGAGTATGTGTATATATATATATTCATGGATGAAGTCTACTAGAGCTTCAATTGACTTAAATCCTATCAAGTTCGCATAAGAAAAGCATGCACATAAACTCGATTAATTTCTTCGTTCCTTGGGGTAGTGGTAATTTCAGTATCGAAGTGATGGGTGATGTCTTCTCTAAATTGACTTCTTGCATTGATGTGATTCATGTTGAGAGGAAAATTGCATGAAGGTTGTCCTTGTCAATGCAAATATGGAACGAAGTTATGTCAATCAAAGCAATTAGCCCATGTATGGTAGAACAAGAAATGGATAGAGAAATCACCTACTCAATGCATCTCGATTTTTCATTCTGATAGATTTTAGGTGATATATGTGCGATCGACGCAAGATACATATGGTGGATGAGCTCAAGTGTACCGAGCGGGATATAGTAATTAAAAAAAGATAATATTGAAGAGAGAGAGGGAGAGAGTCTCATGAGTGTGGTCACTCTTCCCGGTGGGTCAATGACAATTATTAAAGCAGATCACATCCTCCACAAATGTTCCCAACCCAATACATTGAACCTTTTGCTAAAAACCTTTTCCGCAAGGGCAAAGTTCAGTTAACCTCGAACCCTACAATATTATTATATATTTTCTCCAAATATTGTAATGCTAACCCATCACTTGGAGACAGCGACGGATCAGAAAGATTCACGAGAATGACTACTATATTGCCCTTTTCTTTTTGGGCAAAAATCTGAATGATTGGCGTGTCACCGGCGGGGAGGCTGACAGACCAATCAGATCTCTTATCATTTTGTTCCTCACTGTCCAATCACATTCGATCGACAGGTCCACAAGCCGAGCGAGGTCATTGGCTGGTTCTGGTTCCATAGCAGTAGTAATGCTGATGCTGGGTCCTCCCGGTAGCCTGTCCTGGTTATTAATTGGAGCAAAGAGAGAGAGAGAGACAGAGGTGCGCCTCTGAATCTGATGAGATGGAAGCGCTGGGGAGTTGCTCACCAATGAAGTTGCCTCCTCCTTTTCTTCTCTCTCCGTAAATAACGACAGCAGATCACACTGTTGAGCCACACATGTCGAAAGTTGTTCTCGTGTTCGAGGTTTACACATTCCCTCAACAAGACCACTGTTGAACCGAAAACCCTCCTCAGAGGCGAGGCCAGTCACCATATATTTCACTTTACACCGCAGTAAAAAGAGGAGGGCTTTAGGAAAGGCATGACAGACTTGATTCCCCCCTCTATTGATTCACTTTCTTTGCATATTTGCAGCCCTTTTCTTGTTTCTATGTTATTTCCATTTTGGCTTATCTGGTTTTTATTTATTTTTTTGAGTATGAAAAAAATATTTACTTCATTTCGGAAATAGACGGTTCTCATCGTCTCCGATCAGAATGCAATGAGGAGGATTTTCTCTATCTTGGGTGCAGATTTGTGAATTTAATTTAGTTGCGAGTTTGTTTATACCCGTTCCCAGTGTATTATGCCGGACAACATGTCATATTCTAAAGTCTCGCATTAGATGGGGGTTGGCTCTATTGAATTTTTAATATGTGTACATCCACCCCTTGTTGCCAACTTGTGAGGGTTATTTAGAGTTTTCCTTTTGTGGGGTGTGGCTTGTGTGGAACTAGCTGTCTTGTTACGTGATGATATTAGAGCAAGATCCCTCTAGTGTATACGTGGTTTGTGGATGGACAAGGCCCCTGACAATGGCGGGGAATAATCATCAAGACGAGAAATTTGAAACGAGGTATGGCTCTTAGCAATCTTCCAAGAGTGGCGGATGAGATAGAAATACTCAGGATCACACATTAAGTAGATAGAGAGTATCGCTGGCGGCATGGTGACAAGCCACGAGAATGTTAATTTCTCACCCTGTGAATAGTCAATGTCCCACATCAAGTGAGAGAGGTCCCATAATTGAATCATAATTGAACATCCATCCCAAAATGATCATCGCTTCACCTAGTTACTAAAAATACTATTTTCTAAGGCTTGACCCCTATAATACTACTCAAATGTCATGTTATAGAGGATGATATCAAAGATAATAAAATGAGTTCTTGGTCTATCTTAGCTAGAGATCTTAAATGCCGCGCTTTAATATGTGTAATTTGACAATGTTAATCAAGATCGACACACACAGACAATACCTAAATCTCAATGATAATTACCCGTGATACAACACAAAGCTTATTGAAACCACAGATTTTTTTTTTTTTTTTGTATCTTTTCTGCGGAAGGATTGGTATCATTGCGGAGGAAAGTGAATAGGGAATAGAATAGCCACATTCACTTCAAGTCATGGAGAGAAAGGTGACCGATATAAGTCAAAATTATAATGGTTTGCCCACTAAATAAGGCAATACTATTATTCAAATACAAAATTATTTTGAAAGAGAATCTCAGAGCAGGATTAAATAAAACTATTTCACCAACTAGTGGTTGGCTTGGCTTGTCATCTCCCTTCCTCAAGCACGCGAACCCCACAAGCTACGCTTTAAAAAATTAAATTGATATTTTTCAGACAAAAACGAAATCCAAACCCTAATTTTTCATTCTTGCGAACACCACCACCTATACGAGGGTCCTCTTGATTTCATCACATAATTAATTATAACATGGAGAAAAGTCGTAATTATTCGGCCTTACACTTTTTCTAATCAAGATTATTTATTTAAAATTCGTCTAATCAAGTCATACTTCCGGAATTTTTAGAATAAATTCCCCTCCGGCCAAAATTTGAGACAATTTTGTCTTGGCAAACCAGTAAAAAGCTCTCTTCTCAATAATTACTTGATTACAGCGAGACTAGTAAAGTATTATATTGTAATGAATAGAACGGATGTCCTAAAGGGTCGTGCGCTCGATATCTTCTATAGGAGAAGCCAGCGGCTAGACCACCCATCCTAGTTGTGTAGGATTTACGAGACTCAAACGGTCGAATTGGGTTCCGCATCTAGTAAAAATTTCTCAAAAAACGGAGGAAAGAGAGGAGAGGGGAAGAAAAGAAAAGGAAGATCTTGGACCCAAAATAAATCTCGGACAATTGATTACAGATGGATTCTATACACGTGGTCCGCATGATCAACGGTCAGGATGAACCCAATCCATTTACGCTCGGGTCCAAGGCGGGTGACGTAATGAAAAGTCACCAACGGGTGATGGGATAACCACTCCTAAGACTTTTTCCGCATTCAAGCATCCGGTGTCTCTCTCTCTATCTTTACGACAAAAGAACAAAGAAAGAGAGAGAGCGCGAGAGAGAGCGCGAGAGAGGGATCTTCTTGCTCTTAGCAAGTAGCAGCTGCAGCAGCTGCAAGCTGGTGTTCTTTCTTTTTTGTTTATTGGTTGGAGGCAGAGAGAGAGAGAGAGAGAGACAGAGACAGAGACAAGGGAGAAGCAATAAAGATTTGAGTGGTTCAAAACATGTATCATCCATCGTCCTCGTCTTCCTCCTCCCACTCCCAGAAATCTATGGGCTCGAGCGGTGGTGGTGGTGGGGGTGGTGGTGGTGGTCTTACCCGCTACAGCTCGGCTCCAGGGTCTCTCTTGGCTAACGCCGTCGATTCCGTCATTGGCAACCCCAACAGCGGCCGCGGCGACTTCTCCGCCCTCGGTTCCTCCTCCTCCTCCTCCGTCCAGCCGCCCCGCCACCACCACCACCCGCACCCGCACCCGCACCCGCCTCCCCCGCCGTCCTTCTTGGGCCACTACTTCTCCGCGGACTCCTCCTCTCTGACCTCCGAGTCAACCTGCAAAGTCAACTCCTCCAACGGCGACCACCAGCAACCCCCCAAGGACAACAAGACCACTGGGTTGCACGACTTGGGGGTTGGGGTGGGGTCTTCCTCCGCGTCTCCTCGTCCTTCCTCTTCTTCTCTGCTGAGGCAGAGAAGCTCCCCTGCTGGCTTCCTGTCCCACCTCACTCCTGATACAGGTCCCTGCTCTTTCTTGCTTCTCATTTTCTCTTACTTTTCGAGGGGTCCGATGTGTGGTAGTTTTAGTGGGCTGCTCAGACTTTTTTGAGGTTTACTTTCTGTTTTCCTAATTCTGGTAATTTGTTCTGTCAGATGTTGCTGCCTGGGTTTCCTTAAAAACATGACACTCGTTATGCATCTTGTTTTGCTATTTATGGTTTTCGCTGTTGACCCTTTTCATTATGGGGTCGATGGAACGTCCTCGGTTTTCTGTTGGACATTTGGATTTGATAGGGACAATACCCGTTACATATTGGAGAGACTAGCTCGAGCCATCTAGCCAATCTCGTGTAAAGCTCCGCCCATTCCCCTGTTCTCTTAACTTGCTTGCACCTTCTCAACCCACGAGTTTCTTCTACTTCTATGACAAAACCTTTCAGATTTCAAAGTTAACGAGGAAAAGTTTCTTCTTTGGGCTAGCTGGAATCTCTGCAACTTGTGGCTGAGTCACGTGTACAAGTATGGAGGCATAGCTACTCCATTCTATGAACAACATGGAATGGGATCGTCTTTTAATTAATATATAATTCCTTTAGTTTTCCTCTTTTAATAGTACGGTAGTGTTTAGTAAATGATGCAACCGGTGGTGGCCAGAACAAGTCCTGAGCTTGCTGTTCCGTTCTGTGTGTGCTGGATGGATCATGTGCTGGGGCTTTAAATGTTGTTCCTGCTTTTGCCACTTGTTGCCTACCCATTCTTTTCTATTTTTCCTCCATTCTCTGTAATCCTGGGGAGAGAGCTTATGGAATAGAGTGCCGTTTATAATTGAAATGACTTCTATAACCATCCCCCAACTACAAAAAAAAGGAGCAAAAGAACAATCAAATCCCTCATAAGAGTAAACCTGCAGCTGTATATTGTTGAAGTTGATCGTTAATCCTGAGTAGAAGGTTTACTCTTGCGATAAATGGCAATATGACTGAACAGTCGACCAACGTGTATCTTCATTTTATCATGAATCAACCTTAGTTCACTTGATGTTCTGGTCCTGGATGCTTTTACCTTACAGTAATTTATCCGTGCAGTTTTCTCGAGCATCACCTCGTTCCTTGAGCTTACATATTCCTCAATATGCTTCCAAGAGATTATAATTAATTTGAGGGCAGTTCAAGATATTTTTCTATGATTTGGTACTAGATGAATTTCAGGATTACCCCAATCCTCAAGGACCAGAATAATTTGGTTTGCTTCTTGCGTGTCTTCATGTTCTTTTCGTTTTATGTATCATCTACTTGGCTGTCTCAAGAGTATATTTTGCTCCTGTAAAAATTGGGCTGAATCCTGTGTTCATCCGAGAACTTCTCTTCCGACTATTCTGATGATAGGTACTTATGACTTGTCTATGCTATTGCTGATTTTGATATTACTCTAAATAACTTTATGATATTGCACAGCAGGTTTTTCACTTACACAAGGGGCTGGAAGCTCTAATGGTGGTCATGGATTTTCCAGGTTGAAGCCTCAGTTGAGCTTCACTAGACAAGAGTCGCTTTCTCATATTTCTGAAGTAAGTGAAAATGGCGTCGAAGGTGTAAGCCCAGACAATGGCCACCATGGCGCTACACATTCCTATGCCACTACAAGCTTTGGCATAGACTGGGAGAACAGTAACTCCATCGTTTTTTCTCCGCCCTCAGGAAAACATGCCAAGAATGTCGATGGAGATATGTACAGCTTTAACCCCTTAGAAACTCAGGTACTCATTTTTCATTACTTTCTGTTTGTTCGTTTACCTCCTCTTCCACCTTTACATATACATCCATATCCAGCGATTCACTGAATGAGAACAAAGTCTTAAGCAAAATTTTTCTCATTAAAACAAACTGACGTCTCAATACAAGTCTTCACACTTTCTTGTGGCAATATTTATCATCTTTGGTTTACATTTTGATTCCTTTGTCTATCTCCCTGAGTCGTTTTGATAATGACCTAGTATTTCTTTTTGGGTGGCTCAAAGCCTTATGAGGGTTCTGGCAAACACTTACAGATGCAGCACCTTAGAGCAACTTTTCTGCTTCACCCAGTTTCATAGGGTTTTAGATTCAGAAAATGAGTTTCCAAACACACTTTTAGTTGCTTTAATCATGATGTACATGCAAATCTGCATCAGAAATATTGACCTATTAGCTTATCTCATTTTGTTCCCCTTGATGTTTATTTCAGTTTAGCTTGCCCCAGACAACTCTTGAGATGGCCACCGTAGAGAAGCTCCTCCACATTCCTGAAGACTCAGTTCCCTGCAAAATTCGTGCTAAGCGTGGCTGTGCAACTCACCCCCGAAGTATCGCTGAACGGGTGAGTAACCTTACTAAAATTAGCCAGGCCTTTTATCACCACATCATTCTAAGGGCTGCAATAGGTACTCTTTGAGTTCATACAGGTCTTCTATTAGTATGAAATAGCATCTGAGTTATGGCTTGGAATAATGATATTTAGTTCTCTAATAATGTGAGATATTATGCTTTCCTAACTAGACTGTAAGAGACATCCTTCATTTAGCAAATATGTAATACACTAAGTACTTAATATGTACTAAAATTCAGTTTTTCTTATGGTATATCTGTTGGCCCTTCTCCATTATTGCAAGATCTACTTTATTTGATCAAGCCGTAAAACTTGTTGGAATTACTTCCAAGGTTGGACAAATTGTTGCAGCCGCTTCTCGGGAGTATAATTCTCAATAGAGCTATGACAGAAAAGGAATTTTTTTTTCCCTCATGACTAGCAGCATGGCGATTTAGAAGCTAACACCAAAGAACATACAAACCACAAATGCAATAAACAGAAGCTTTTCGCTTGAAGTGGGGTCAGCTAACTCCAACCCTGCAAAATTATATTCTCTGGTCTTCCTGAATCAGTATTTGTATCAGCCTGGGAAGTTGTCATTTGGATTAGTCACCCTAAATCCCTCTGAAACTGATTTTGGTTCGAGATGAATGAGTGAAACCATCTTCATTCTGTGGGCTTATTCAAATCTTCAACCATTTTAGTTAAAGTTCCAAGTTCATGGATGGCAAGATTGTGCTCTGGAGATTTGGCATTATGCTATAGCCCCTATTAACCAGACCAAGTAGCATAAAATGGATTGTTGTCCAGCCGTTAGGATCTCAGTCATGTTGTAATATGGGCCTAGTTAATGGGCAAAACTAAGCACTTTGCTCTAATGTCTTTATCTTTTCAATTTTTTGCATCTTTAGGAAGTGTATGCTAGTGTGAGTTTGCCTGGCCAGAATTGTTGGCCTACAAGAATCGAATGGAAGAACCTGACGTGCACCCATAGAGCAAGTTTGATAGTAGTAATAGGTTGAGGTTGGAACGGATTAGGAGAAGAAAGGGAATACAACGAGGAATATTTGGTTGTGGAGTTCTTTGCGACTTTTGACATCTCTGCTTTCTATTCATTTAGTGTCTCGACATATTTCTTTTCTCATCCACATAGTAGCCTACTTTTGCAAAGCACACAGTTTTGCCATTTAGCTGCAGATTTAGTAAATATTATCTTTGCTAAATCATTTCGAGAAACTTGATTGTGCTGCTTGTATTTCTTATGCCAATTTATGGCTCTGCATGTGACAGGAAAGAAGAACTAGAATAAGTGGGAGGCTGAAGAAACTGCAGGAGCTTGTCCCTAACATGGATAAGGTGATCATCAATTTATTTCCGATGCAGCCATGCATTAAATTTCAGCACCCATTTTCTTTAGCACGGTACGCGTGAATTGCTGAAATAGTTGCTTGGCATAACTGCATTAGGCAGAAGCATGCAATCTGGATTCCTTCGTGGAATATGTCTGCTAAATTCTTGATAGTTGGAGCTGTACTAGATTCATCATCTCTTTTTTCCTAAAACTGCTTGATGCTGCTATTTGTTATGTGGTTCATCAAAGTTTACAAACCATAGTTGTGTTTGTGTTTGATCCCCTCTGCAGCAAACGAGCTATTCAGACATGCTTGATTTGGCCGTTCAGCATATCAAAACTCTTCAGAATCAGGTTCAGGTGTGTGAATCTCATCCATTCTCTGTTGACTGTTGAAATATGCCCAGGAATGACCATTAAAGGTCATGCAAAGTTTAAGTGAAAGTGGATGCATCGTATCTGCCTGCTTACGTTGAAAATCTCTTCACTAGATGAAATAAAATCCACTCTTTGTAAGATATGAACTTAACTAACCAGATGAAATGAATTAAGGATACATGTTTCCTGCCATGAACTTTGTCCCCGTGTAATCTAAGTTGAGATACTTTCATAGTACAAAGTGACGTGGCTTCCGAATTGTTAAAGCGAGAGGAACTGTTTGTTACTAACTATGAACCGGCAAGGATTGTTTATTGGTCTTCATAATCAACTGCCCCGCAGTCTGCCTGCTGGTTTACTCCTAAGTAGACCGAAAAGGCTACCCTGTACTTTTGCATCATCAGTTATTAAATTGCGCATAGTGAACTCTGTTTTAATCCATTGGAATGACTTTCTCCTATTTTATGCAAATAACATGTGCAGAATTAAGATTTAGTGACTTTCTAGGACAGGGTTGCATAGGTGATGCAGAGACAAGGAGGAGGATAGTAACTGTTAATTAGAAAAAAATTAAGTTGGTCTCCATTTACAAGTTGTAACTCATAAGTAAATCAGAAGTGTTATATTCAGCTTCACATGCCCAATTGAAGTTTTGAGGTAGGTGGCTGCAGCTTACTCTTACCATGTGGTGATCAAGAGAATATTCTATGTGAATCTGAACTGTAAAACGAACCTAGTTAATAGTCATTTTCACATATTACTGAATTGAAGGCTGGGTACTGATGAACATTGCACGTCTTCTGTGTTTTAATACCTTAAATTTGGTCTGGTGTCCGCATCTTCAGAAGCTTCGCCAAGATCTTGAGAACTGCACATGCGGGTGCAAGCCAGGCTCATAGCATTTGCGGATGGAAAATGATGATGCAAGGTTTTGAAGCAAAAGGCGGCGGCGTTGCTGGAACCTAGCAGAACTAATTTTTGTCATGCTGTCAAGTTAGGCCGAATAACGCAGATTAGTGGAGAACTCAGACGTGTACATAATTACAGTTTGAGTGTTTCAAGGTAGCCGATTGGGAAACTAAGTTGATCTAGTTTAATTTCGTTCTCCTAGCGGATCGTGTAAAATAGAGTTTATTTCATCTTCGGCCTTTTGTTAAAGCATCAGACCCTCCTTTTTCCTTAATAAAATTTGGTCAAGTTTTGTCACAGGGTATATGTAGATTTCTTCTTGTATTTCTGTGTTGAAATCTTGTGAACTTGCCTAATTGTTGGAATTTGATGTACGATGACAATGTTACAGGGATGTATGAGAGAACCTATGAGCTGAAATGCACAAAATTCTTATTGCTTTACAAGGCTAAGCTAGAAATAAAAAAGAAACCGAATGCATTTCGGTGTAACGTGAATCATACATCTACGAGGAATAACCCTGGATTATGCTCTAGGTGAAGAAGGGGTCTTCTCGCAGGTCAGGGTTGGAATCATTGCACTAACCCTTTCTAGCTAAGCGCTAATTCCACACGCATGGATCCACGTGCTTCTGTTCATGCCTGCTTGGGATTAGCTCGGCCCTCAAAGATTTCATATTGTTCTATTGTGAACCCGAAAAAACGAGGAAAAGAAGAACATAAGCACTCATCTGGATTTTCGTCCTCCCAGTTAATTAAAAAGAACAGAAGAAACAATCAGCCTCAATGCAAGCAACAATTCCTCCACTCCGAACTGGGAGCATGTCCATTGATCCGCTACACCAAATTGTGAATACAACACCTAGATTGTTCTTTAACCATCCTCTCCCTCTCCAGTCTACAGGAAGATTTCGATTTTGAGAAGGCACACGATGATTAGGAAGCAAAGTCTCGCTTTTCGCTAGCTACAAAATGAAAGATTTCTGGTTACTTGACGTTCAAAAACAGTCTAGAGTAGAATATTTATGATCTAAAAGGAACATTAAAGTGCCCTACTCAGACTCTCAATGATGGTCAAAGACAGACTATTGAAGTACGATGATTGTTTTTGTAAGACATATATGCTAAAACGAGCTTATCATTATTTTATGCAGGCGCAACACAGTGAAAATTGGGCTAAGGACGGATGAAAACATCCCGAAGCATGGCATAGCGCCTTCGTAAACGTGCCCAAATAAAGATCAGTCTCGACTGACTGTAAACTTCTGCTATTGGAAGGATCTCAGTTTGACTGTTAAACTTTATTAACATAGAAGATGTCATATATCTAAAACAGATGGTGCTGCTGTGAAACATAAATTACCAGTCGAAACAATAAAAGGCAGGAATACACTTCTATTTTTATTATAAATAAGGAGAAAACCAAACCAGATTACAATTAAAAGAAACGTGCAAAAATCCGGTCGCAAAGCACATGTCAATGGTCATCCCAATGCCTGACCTAAGTAAATACTCTTCTCTGCCATGACGCCATCCTCGCAAATATAATGCAGTCAGCTCAGCTCTTTTCAGGGGAAAAAGAAAATGCAACCAAGCAAAGTGATGGAAAAAGTAATGGACCCCTGCCAACCATCAAGTTCCAACTATTCACTCGGTAGCCCGCGATGATTTCCATGTGCTCTAAAGATGTTAAAAGACCTAGCTCGTGCTTCACACATCTTTGGTCATTGCCCAGGTATCCTTTTGAGAAGCAGCACATAGGGGCTACCACTACAAATGCACTCTTCAACGGTGCAAAATATACTACCTTATAACATTCATGGTGCTGAGTGTCCTCTGCTACCTCCGCTTGTACCTGGAGAAAGACCGGAATGAGAATTCTACTAAAAAAAATGATCAACTTTTCATCCATTGAAAACTCAAGACTGAATCTTAAACGTGCTTCTACATTACTGTTAAACCCACAAACAAGCATCATTCTAATTATCAGGTGTTCAGGAAAAAAAATATATATCAGGTGTTCTCAAACCCCACAGATAGCAATTATTCACACAATTCCTCACTATTAAATTAAACGAGAAGATCCATACACTCCATCAACAGTAGCATATAATCCATAAGCAGTTCTCCTCTTAAATCTTAACTCGCAGTAATTCCCAAGCCGGAGGCCACCAGAGAGTTTGTAAAGGTCATAAGTGACATTATACAAGCACATGTAAGGAATTAAGCATCTAAATGAAATATGGCAAACAATTTTCCAAACTTCAGGAGTCTTAAGAAAGTTGAAAAACATGAAAGTACTAGGATAGGAGGTGATAACACAAATTCTAAGCATACAAGCCCACTCTTACAACCAAAAGGCAAAAGCAGATTTCTTGATTTGTCAACAAATTCAAAGAGTTGCACTAACAAGCCAAGTCCAGATAAAACAATATAAAAGCATAATCTTTATGGTAAAAAAAAAAAAAAAGCAGATGGAGGATTGTCATGCCGTTTAACAAGTGAAACAAAACCTTAGGGAATGAACTATCGGATTTCTACAAAATCAAATGGGATCTGTGCATCTGTTACTACATCACCTACACCATAAGCGACTAAACCAACATTTGTTAGAGATTCAGTCTTATGCCACACAGGAAACATATGTGATCGCTTAATGGAAAGTAATAAAGGATATCAACTACAATGAGCGATGAAAAGGAATACACTCATCCCAGGGAAAAATAATATTAGATTATTTCAGTGCTCCACTTACAACAGCCGGACCAGCTAAGACCATATCTAGGACATCCACTAACGTAGCTTGAAAATAACAGAAGGGACAGGCATTCCAATTTGATGACTACATAGACGTGCAGCAAACTTCAAAGATATGTGAGCCAGCCATGTTGAAGCCAAGAAAAATCATGCTATAAAAACATTAATTTGTCACATGCTGTCCCAGAGACAGCTCCCAAAATAAAATTGCCAATGAAAATGAATATGTTGGAGAAAGACGGTAAGAAATAACAAGGCCAACCCATCGCGAATTTAGTTATGCTAGTATGCTTTTAAACTAAATCTCAACTTCTCTTCATAGGTAAAAGATAAATGACTAGGGCACCGAGGTGGTGCAAAGCTTTCAAAAAGAGCTCAAAACCAAGTCAAAGCATATACAACGTCGATCAAAGCATATACATCCACAAGAAAGTTTCCATTAAACCAGAATTATCAAGAACTTTATCACAATGTGGTTCCGAAGTCCTATAAAAAATCTTAATTTCCGATTTAATTAGATTATACATGGAGGTGGGAAAACTATACAGTTGTCATACCTTGACTTGCTTTTAAATTTGGACTTCTTCTTTCCAGCTAGAGCACCTCTCTTTTTGAGTTTTCGTTCACTCATATCACTCTCAAAAAGTTCCTTCATCTCTTCCGCTCTAGATGGAGTTCTTTCAGAAGTTCGTTTTGCTTTTTTGCTTGGTTTTCTGACAATTTTACCAGCATCCAGAGCCTTCTTCACTGACTTTGCTGCTTTTGCCCGACGGTATGCCACATCAACAAGTGATAATCCAGATTTCTCCTTTTTACCAGTTCCATCACCCTATATAAAGTCAGTTTTTAAAAGAACCCTTGCATTAATGCTAGCACATAAAAAATTGATATAAATGAACAACATGGCAGTGTGGGTTTACCCATATGCGAACATCTTTCACAAGTATGTGACAGTTACAACAGATATTAATACAGGAGTACCCAAACAGGAGGCTCATACTCAATGAAAACTATTAACAGAGGCAATTCGTTCTGGTTCTCTTCTGCATGTTTAGACTGTTTTGACCAGCAGAATACTACATTGTACCAAATAAAATTTCATGTCATGATTATTTGATAAATTCAAGCATGAGCTGGTAGGGAGCCCAAACAACCCATCCTTTGTGAGCTCTATTAAATTCCAACTGGAACCTAAAATTTGCTAACAGGGAAGAGATAACAAGAGATGTACCTCCAACTTGTCAGTCTGATTCTCGTCCTCCAACATTTCTCTAGCTGCTTCCAATCTTCGACGCTTTTTACGAGGTAGATTTTTCTGTTCAAATATTAGAAAATAAGCTCACACACAGCATAAGTCAGCAAACTTATCTTAACATCAAATGAGGAAAAAATCAGCATGTACCTCACGTTCTCGCTTTCTTTTCTCTTTCATTTTAAGGTCTTCAGCTTGTTGGGCACTGATTACCACATCTGCAGAACTCTTTCCTTTCTCCGAAGAGGCCTACCATATCAGTTCCAAAATGCCAGAAGATCAACTTTAAGGTGAATTAAAAAGTATATAATCCATTATAAGAATGTCAACACCGTAAATGGATGATAGACCAAAAGAAATTTGCATTGGAAACTTAACACGGCTCAGATAAGAGAATACAAGCCTAGATAATAAATAGCGCCAATATTCAATTTGACAGAAAACCTTCTAACATTTGGGTAACAAGAATAATCACTACCCGCTCAGTACAGCTGGCTGGATACCAATCAACCGAAATATTACTTCTAACATAAGAAGTCAGTAAAGGTGATCTGTGACGAAAACTGTATATAGCTACCCCCGGACAGACTTGTAAATTTATGTAGTTTAAGGAGAAATGGCATGTAATTGTCGGAGAGCAGGTAATAAAGATAGTTCTTGGTCAATTCTGCGAGGCATCAGAGGGATGTAATAACTGTCTAAAGTAATATAGATTGTCCAAATAAAGTCGTGTTGATAATTGCTCGCTTTGCAAGGGATGAAAGGAAATAAACGCATCTAAAATACAGAAATTGTTTGATACAGACAAATTACTTCATAGACAAAAGAGCAAATGGCTAAATCACTTACTTGCATCTCACCAAGAAACATATAAGTTATCTTTCTTTACTAAATATTATTATTGGTGCCAAAAGGACAAACAATAACAGCAACTTTTAAAATGACCATTACACTGTGCCTCCTCTGCCACTCTTAATCAATACATCCTATATGACATGAAGTAGACCGGTTAATGACCATCAAGAGAAGCATCGCTACATGCTTTACTAGCTTCCAAGAAGGTTGACCTAGAGGTGAGGATTCAGTTAAAAACAAAAAGAACAGAGTGATGAACTTTTAATATCAGAGCAATCTGGGAAACTATTTTTGACCTTTCTAAGTTAATTTTGTCAAATACCACTCCTAACTTGTCTATGTGGACAACAGCATCAAGTTTGTTTATACAGAAATAGATTAGGTTAGCAATTTTTCTTATCCCATCTCCTCAAGTAATCAGCTGATCAATTTCACAGTACAATTGCATCCAGTTGTTTAATAGTAATTAATTGAAAAACCGAATTCACACATCGGATGCTACCATATCTAAGGACAACATGTACAAATGAGAAAAACTTAACAAGCAGGTTAGATAAGTAGACAACCTTCGCTGCCTTTGCTGCAAGTTTCTTCTCCTTTTCCGTCACAAACCATGTTCTTTTAGGACGTGAAAATATGTCATCCTTATGAGCAATCAAATTTTCCGCCTGCATAGAATAATAAAAAGCTATATGACATTACCACCCAGATGCGTAGCCCCAGTAAAATGTGATTTTTATTTTAAGTTCTCATGAAAACAGAGTTCAGCAACGACACAGAATCCCCCACTTAAACTGATTCATGCATAGAAGATCCAACACATAGAAGTTCAAAATGATCCACAAAGAGAAGGTATAATTACTATCATAGCCCAACATCCCTTAATCCATATTCTTTGGCAATCACAGTTGAATAATTCAGAAAGAAGAGGTATCAGAACACATGCAGAGAATGATTATTTACCTTGGTGGCCTCCATTTCAGCTTTTCTCAAGGCCCTTTCTTCCCTGCACAAACTCTATATCAGCAATTCCACTGTAGACAATAAAATGTCAGAGTTTACATACAGTTCATACCTCTCTTCTCGAAAAATGGCAGCTACCTGACGTTCCATCCCCTCAATGAGCTGAGACCATTTAATAATTGATTGCTCTGCAACTATTCGGCTCTTCAGCTTGGAACCAGCTCTCTTAGCCTATTAAATTAGAAAGATAAACTTGAGATTAGTCAATTCTCCAAACAACCACAACCAGTCTGTTTTCACAATTTCATCAACAATTTTTATTTAGGTTTTGCAGTTCTGCACTCGACAAATTCACATGCAATAAATCGTAACCAGAAAGTACTAGCTTGTGAGATGAACAGCATGCAACAACACAATAAAAACTAAACAAACCACTACCCATTGAGCAACAGATCAGTAGATAAACTCTTTCTTTTATAGAAGGGCAAAAAGATGTCATCAAAGACTATATTCAGGAAATAAAAAAATTGCTTTTGTTACGATGATATCACTGCTCTTTTAACAACTCTAATCCAATTTTCAGTACTATTAGGGCAGAAGGCTCATTAGAAAGGGTGGAATAAAATCTTGTTAAATCCTATAATAAGTCAGAGTACTAGATTTGATGACTCTAGTGTGGGCCATGGAATTTGGGCACAAAGAAAAGGGCATGGACAAATCTTTTCACCTATCTTGCTAATAATATAATATCTTGGGCATTTCCAGCTTATTTGATTAGTAGACTATATCAGTAACATCCCATGCAATGAACCAGAGTGTAAAAGCTTCTTTGCTCTGTCAAGGTCAAAATTCATACTTACAGAACAAAGAAAATTTATCAAGTACTAAAGATAAGACCACTAGTTCTTTAAAACTTTTTATTTCTTTCTCTGCCCGTTCAAGATCGGTTGATAAATCTCAAGCAATTAATCGCCAACTCTACAGGTGACAAAATGGCTGGTTACCAATAACAATCAATCTGTAAAGCTTATAGAACCACCATCAAGAAGGAAGTGTGATGCTCACAATTGCTTTCAGTAAAGACCGGTCATTGTCAGTCACAAAAGTGACAGCACATCCTTCCCTACCCGCTCTGGCTGTTCTACCAACCCGATGAACATAACTGAGAATATAAAGGAGATGCTCTTAAAAGCAGTTGCATAAGGGAAGCATGCAGCATAGATAGAAGAGAGATATATTTGGGTACATGCAAAGTCTACGAACTTGGTCATTACCTGGTAAGATCACGGGGACAAGCATAGTTTATAACTGTCTGGACACCAATTATATCAAGCCCCTGCACAATTGCCCAGTATATAACATCATACTAAATAATTACTCCTAGTATAAGAGAACATGTTGTAGAGGTCAGACGAAGGGACCTCAAAACTAAAAGCTCATAGAGGAATATATGATTGATAAATTCTAAGCATAAATTTATTGTAATTATTAGGCTAGGGAGGAATGATTTACATGAATACATGCGTATGACTTTTTAAGGAAACCCTAATAAGGCAACCCTGTAGGAATACTTACACGGGCAGCTACATCAGTCGCAATCAGAAAATCAACTTCTTGCCTCCTGAATAGCTCTAATGCCTAGATAGATAGACACATAGAGAGAGAGAGCTGATCAGTTGAGAGAGCAAAATTGAGTACAACAATCTATATGCAATACTTTGCTCTAACCAATGGGGTTCATGGAAACGTAAGGATTGACCACACTAAAGGATAAACTTTTCTGACCAAACCATATCAATGAGTTTTCCGCAGAATGTGAATGAAATTTTTAGGGTAATAAGCAACTCACATCAAGGCGTTGCACTTGAGTAAGATTTCCATGAAGTTCCGCAGCTTTATAACCAGCTAAACCAAATATGATCTTCAACCTATGTGCAGCATCCTTTGTTCCACTGTAATTGAAATACAATAATTATATTGAAATAGTAACTACGACCTATAAAAAAAAAATGAAGAAACGCACCCCAAGACAATTAATAACAAAGAGCAGAGAAGCTACCTTACGAGTTCAGTAATAGACTGCATAAGATTTGATGATTTGCATTCAATTTTGTACACAGAATTAGACAGATCAAACGTTCAATCACCTCTAACGGTATCAAGACCAAATTTGCCAACTCAATCTCATTGTACATCCTTAACCCCATTCAACGAGAGAGAGAGAGAGAGAGAGAGAGAGAGAGAGAATCATTTTTCAAGTTCCAGATTACTAGAACATATCCTAAACTCCTACGAACAATACTAGAACATATCTCCATACCAATCCTCTATCAAAGATATAGTGATGTGACTATCACGAACTGTTATAATCTCCAGCCTTAAATACATACAAGCATCAACATAAAACCACTGAAATGTAGTAAAACTACAGAACAGAAAAGGCCATCATCATCTAAATATAATCTCTGAGTGTAACCTGAAGATTATGACTTTGGAAGTGAAAGTTTTCGAACACAAGGCCAGCAGAACCGCTTCCTGATTTGACTCGCGCATCCGGCGTATCCTGACCACCCTATATAAGATAAAACCACCAATACTAAGTACAAAACACAAAATCAAGCTAAAACCATGGAGAGCAAAGAATTGCACGGGGATGATCAGTATGTCCCTTGCTTTATAATCAAGGACAACATTTAAATTTCCACGTACTGAAACCCTTGCTGTCCATATAATCTTTGGTGCACTTAGACAAGCATCAAAGGTTATGGGGAGAGAAACACATATCATGGCTTACAGGCCGATTCAACGAGAACTGGAGAGCAAGGAATTGCGAAAAGAGTGGAGAAAGAGCGGAATGAAACTTAATCAAAATAAAAAGGGACATTCAGAACAGTACCAATTCTATGGACTAAAGATCACGTGTCACAAAATGGAAAGGTCAGAAGACCAATTGAGCGTTGACCGAAACAATGTCATAGGTCCCCTGGTTCAAGAGCCTAGTGAATAATTTTTACATATCCTATTTTTCAATTTACATGGCTATCTAAACCTTCCCTCATGAAGAGACCAAGATTCTTCGAGAACCAATTCAATTTTATGCATGGTCTACTACTTAGCACAAGGACAAATGTAAGAAAGGACATCCATGTGATTTGATCGATATGGAGAAAGCTTACAACAGGTACCTAGAGAAGTGCTTTGGAGGTTTTAGAGAAGAAAGGAGTTTGTATTACATATAAGCAAGTACAAACAACGTGTTTGATGGGGGTGGTGACTTTTGTCAAGACCAATGGAGGGATAACAAAGCATCTTTCAACAGCAACAGAGCTGCATCAAGGTCGGGCTTTAAAACCTTGTCTGTTTTCCCTAGAGATGCCCGAGGTTACCAGAAAATCCATTTTGCTCACAACATTGTGCCAGAAACTCAAGCCAACATAAATGTAAGATGGGGTGGTGACTTTTGTAAGGATATACAACTGTGTTTGATGGGGGTGGTGACTTTTGTAAGGACCCATGGAGGGATAACAAAGCATCTTTCAACAGCAACAGAGCTGCATCAAGGTTGGGCTTTAAACCCTTGTCTGTTTGCCCTAGAGATGCCCGAGGTTACCAGGAAATCCATTTTGCTCGCAACATTGTGCCAGAAACTCAAACTGACATAAATGTAAAATGAGGGGAAATGTTGTGACGCATAGGCTTATAACAGCGAATGAGTATATTCAGCAAAAATATGGTGTGGTGCCAATTTAAGATGAGAAAAAATTGTACTAAGGTGGTCTGGAAACATGAAAAGACAAACTTCAGATGCTCCTGTGAGAGTTCTCACCTAAAACGAAGATAAAGGGGTAAAAAGAAGGGAAGACCTCCAGCAAATAACAAGGATGGACAGCTCAAAAACCTTGGATGCTTGGATATCATCTAGGATCTAGTGTAGGACAGTAAGGTGATCAACATCGCTTACAGGAGAAAAGGTTTGGTTGGGGTTTTACGATACAATCTCAGCGTAATTTCACTCTGATAAATTGCGAGCACTACTGGCAAGTTTCCATTCATTAGTCTCTATTCACTTCGTCAACATCGGCCCATGAAGCAGCAATAAACCTAGTAACAAAAGAAGGCTAAGAAGTAGTCCTCTTACGGGATTGACCATAACGTGCAGCACAGTTTCAAAATTCTTGAAGCCAGCATTGTAAGCGATAATTAAGATTCTAAACAAAGTACCCAAGAAGAAGCTAAACAAAGTAAGCAAGTCAATGCATTTAAAGAAGCTTAAGCCCTGTGCCCCTGTCCATTAGTAATCCACCAACGATCGAGAAAAATGGAGGGGAAAGCAACCTAATATAGCACAATTCATGTGTGGTCCAACTAATCTTTTTCAGAACAAGAAGCTGCTATCGTGCAAGGGACAGACAATGATACTAACTAATCTATATTAGCCAAACTAACCGACAGAGAACTGAAATACCGCTTACTCCTCAGTTAATGTGGCAGGCCGTTTTGCTGATGGGTCAGCTGAAAGGCGCAAAGGTTTGACCAGAGAAAGCTGAATAAGCTCATCCACTTCTTCAGTCATTGTAGCTGAAAATAACATCGTCTGCCTCCTTTTAGGACATTGACGGACCTGAAAATAGACAGAAATGAGTCGGTCTAAAATTGATGAATGGATGGCTGTAATAACAGAAAAAGTGAGCTGATGCAATTGTCATATGCCTTAACATGTTCTGTACCCTGCAGCAAAAGCTAACCATTTGAATGAGATCTCATGGAAAAGAGTAATTGGAAAAGATTATACCAGCTCATGAATTTCAGCACTAAAGCCAAGCTCCAGCAGACGATCTGCCTCATCAAGAATAAGAACTGCAAGATCTTCAAAGTCCACTGACATAGAATTGCGCAAGTGATCTATCATGCGCCCTGGAGTTGCTACAACAATATCTGGCATTGATCTCAAGGCCACTTCTTGAACCTATATGAAAGAAGCATTATTGTCGAAAGTTTGCTCCAGTCAGAAGATTCCATACTACAACGACAATTCCATCAGCATTTTTACAAGTAATAACAGAAGAAGAACTACTTTCAACTGAAAAAAAAAAAATGCAGGTGCACTTCACACATCAATCTATACGTGCTGTCCCCATATGCAGGAATTCAACTCCATTCTTGGTTTTAGTTAACATTTGAACTTCCAGATTGAGAACCACAGTTCCAAGACGTGATCTGCCCCCGAGTCTCATGAAATCACAACGTCATATCCATTCTATGCATGAGAAGATGCTACTTTTTTAACCCAAAATCTTCTTTGACATGTCAGAGCTTGTGTCTCAAGATGTGCTTCAATGTTTTGCAGACACGGAAAAACAAAAACTCCAAAGCATAAACAGTAAGGACAGAAAAATCAACCTTTGTTGAAAGCCCACCAACAATAAGGCAACATCTGATATCGGTAAATTGAGCAAGTTTCTCTATCATGCTATGAACCCTGCAAAAATGTAAGTAAACGAATTGAATCAGATGCATCAAATGTTAGCAGACTAGCATCACTGGAATAAACTTTTAGGCAACAGAGAAAGGAGGACAGATAATCAGTGTTTAACATCAACAACCAAACAAAAGAACCATTCAGAAGAAATTAACGGCTTCGTTTTGAGACTGACTTCTTGGACCAACAGAATTTAAAATTAAAAAGCTCCTTACCAATTCTCTTATCCAAAATTCTACTAATAAGCATAGACCAAAAATTTTCGATGCTTCTATTACAAAAGATAAAAAAAAAAAATGACACTGCTAGGTTAGGCCCATGAACAAGCAAATACAAAAGAACTCCTTCAGTAAGACACATACCAACAGACTTTCCTATAAGTTTTCCAATAGAACCTGTTATCATGCACAAGGGAAATTCCTGGTTTGTAAACTCTCTCTTAACAGGAGGTAATAGCTCCACTATAAAGATAACTTGTATGGACTATAAATTACTTAAAATCCCTCTGTCCAATTCCAGAACGAGCGCTGAAGATTGTACAAGGGAAATTTGCTAGGGCAGCTTCAGGAGAGTAGGACAGGAACAAGATGCATGGCAATTTCTCTGCGTTTGGTGGTAATATGTGGGTCCCATGTGATATTAACCTTACATTATTCTGTTTAGCTCACTTTCCGTTCTGAAAAGAGGAAATACAGAGGTTTGCCATTGAAATACAAAGTGAATGGAAGAAATTGATTTCCCAAGCCATGATAAAATGAAGTTCCAATAAGTTTTCTATGAACTGTTACAGCCACATAAGCTATAGGTGGACATGAGAAAAAGATGTCAGTTACTTACTGAACTGCCAACTCCCGGGTAGGAGTAAGTATAAGAACCCTTATGGCTTTCACTCTCTTGGGTCGGAACAGCAACCTCTCCAAAGCAGGCAAAGCGAATGCAGCTGTCTGCATAAACCAACATTGAAATTGAAATAACAGCGCCCACCGCACAAACGTAGTCATGTTCCAAGTACTAAAAACTTGCATACACAACACTAGAGAGGTTTTTTCAATACCTTCCCAGAACCAGTGATGGCACTCGCACAAATATCGCGGCCTGTCAATGCTAAGGGAATGCACGCAGCCTGCAATTGAAGAGGCCCCAGCATACAGACATGAAAACCATGTCGCATTAGCCAACTACTTCCATCAAGACATTTGCAACAATCGCACGGACGATAATTATGATTGAAGGGACCTGAATAGGCGTGGGCTTGGTGTACCCTAACGCCTCGCAAGCCCTAAGAAGGGGGCGAGATAGATTGAGCTCCATAAAGGAATTGGCGTGAAAGGAGGCTCCTTCAGCCTTGTCAAAGAAGGGCTTGGTTTCGACGGCATTGCTGCCGCCATCGTCCTCATCGTCTGACCTGTAATCTTCCTACCAAATGGATCGCAGAACAGGGCCATAAGTGGGTGGAGGGAAGAAGGGACTTGAAGAGAAAAAAGAAAAAGAAAAGGGACAACGATAGAAACATATTGAACACGGCAAGAGGGACCGACCTGGATGTCGGGTTGGGAATCGGAGCTAACGTCGTCGGGGAGAACCGGGAGGGAGCGATTCTGGAGGGCCTTGGAAATCTTGAAGTCGACGGAGGTGGTGCTGTGGCGGGCGTGCTCCTCAGCGACGGACTCGGAGTAGGCAGCGAAGTCCCAGGGAGACTGCGTCTTCTCGTCTGCGTCCTCCTCCTCATCGTCGTCGTCCTCCGGGTCCTCCGGACGCTCTTCGTCGCTGGGGGCTTCGAACACGAAGCTCGACGACATGGTGATCAGCGCGGCCGACGATCAAGCGAGCTGCGGAAAGAGAGGCTGGAGCGAAAGACGGAAGCTTGGAGGTGGAGGTGGAGGTGGAGGTGGAAGCGGAAGCTTGCTAGGGTTTTTGGCGTCGTCTCGGCGGGGGTTTTGGTATTTGCCGAAGGAGCAGAAGTGGCGGTAAACGAAACGAAACGGTGACGGTGGCCCGATTGGCTAGCCCGCCCGACCCGGTCCTTACTTGACGGGCCGGACCCAACTTCGACTTCTTTCTTCTTTTTTTTTTTTGGTCAGAAACTTCGACTTGGGAAGTATGTAAAAAATAGGAACAATTTTTTATAAGATAAAAGGGTATGAAATTGGCGACATGATGATATTCGATCACGAAGCTTTGAATTTTGGATAAATAAGCGAGAGAGCATCCATTAGAATCCTAAGCCTAACACAAGGGGATGGGGGGAAAAAGTAAAATGCTTTCTTTGGATCTCTCCAACGTAGAAATCACGCATGGTATTTCGCTTCGTTTTCTTTTTTTTTTTTTCTCATAGGATTTTTGGCGGATTAAAAAACAGGACATTACTTTTCTTCTGTTGGACAAGAAGGACATTACCTACTTAGCCTAAAAAAACAAGAAAGAGGAAAAGAGTAAGGAGGGGGAGGGGGACAAAAGGCGCAGGGATGGAAGGAAGAGAAGAGACCGCTGTCTGTCAATTAGGCACGACAAAAGATTGCTTTGTCCATGTAATCGTGTCTTTTACCAAAACCATAAAAAAAGAAAAAAAAGAGAGTACTTCTAAGACAAAACCAAATAAAGGAAAACATCACCACAAGCAAACGTGCGTCTCGTTTCGAGGTATGGGTCCATGAGAATTGCTTCCCAAGGGCATTTGGCGACGCGCGGAGTGGGGGGGCAGTATTAGAGAGTATTTTTGGTCATGTACGATGATGATGCTGCTGCTGGTAGTGCTTTTGGTCAAATGAGATTCTATTATGGTCATGAAAATACTTTCTAGAGTAAAATTCTTGCAAAATTTTCGATTTTTGGGGGGCATTTCTGTGATCAGGAAAGGTAACATGTGGAGGAGGACGTGGTGGTGAATGGGGGAACGACATGACATGACATGATTGCCAGCTAAGATCACAGCGTGGCATGGCATACCATACCATGCCATCCACCAGCAGTAGTAGTAGTAGTAGCTCTGCACAATCTCTCTCTCTCTTCTCTCTTCTCTCTTACACGAGCTCAGTGGATCGGTCAGACCACTTTCCCACGTCTTTTTCTCTCTCCTCCATCCTCCATCCTCCTTCCTCCTCCGTCGTCCAGGGCCAATCTCTTCCGCATTCCAAGCTGTCGGTAACATCGGATCCCATTGAAGGATAAGGGAAGCAGGAAGAGAGAGAGAGAGAGAGAGAGAGAGAGAGAGAGCTAGAAGAGAGAGACAGAGAAGAAGAAGAAGAAGAAGAAGAAGAAGAGGAAGGAGAAGGAGAAGTAGAAGAGAGGATGTCGTCGTCGGACGAGGAGGGAGGGGAGGAGTACCTGTTCAAGATCGTCATCATCGGCGACTCCGCGGTGGGCAAGTCCAACCTCCTCTCCCGCTACGCCCGCAACGAGTTCAACCCCCACTCCAAGGCCACCATTGGCGTCGAGTTCCAGACCCAGAGCCTCGACATCGACGGCAAGGAGGTCAAGGCCCAGATTTGGGACACCGCCGGCCAGGAGCGCTTCCGCGCCGTCACCTCCGCCTACTACCGCGGGGCCGTCGGCGCCCTCGTCGTCTACGACATCACCCGCCGCTCCACCTTCGACAGCGTCTCCCGCTGGCTCGACGAGCTCAAGAGTACACCCTCTCTCTCTCTCTCTCTCTCTCTCTCTCTCTCTCTCTCTCTCTCTCTACTTTGCTTCCTTTACTTGTGTTCTATATGCGCTTTGCTATTTGGGGTGGATATAGCGTAGATCTGGGGTTTCGCCTTCGGAGATTCCTTAAATCTAATTCCGCCAGCGTTGAGCTCACTCGCAATTGATTATGCATGGGAAATTAGCACGCATGCCTGTCACCCCAATGGAAATACAGACTTCGGACATTGCCTATAAGGAAACTATAAGCTAATTGAGTCTCTGGAAGCTGATGCGGCGCGAAGAAACCAATGATCCCACATGCCCTGAACCACCCTTATCACCTACTAATAAGCAAATTTCCCCTCCTCTTGCTGTTTCAAAAGTGGACACTTTAACTAATGGTGTCCTAGGAAGCCAAAGAAATCTGCCCGAACGGACGTCTAGTTAAAGGTTCGAGATGCACATAGCATGTGTTCAGCATCAGCAGAAGGAAAATGGCATTTAGCGGCTGTTATGGGTCACATCGATAAAAACATCAAAGAAAATTCAGGAGAAGTCAATGATTGAACTAAATAATGGGTGATTGCAGTTGATGTCAAGGCAGGTAGGGCAGAATCATTATCATGAAAGAAACTGCGAAGCAGTTGAACAGAGAGAGACAGATAGGGAGAGAGCTGTTTCCAGCTGCCGGGCGGTTTCGTGCTAAACTGTAGCGCGTGCAATGTCGGAAGTAGTTAACATAGTCAAAAGAGTGATGTAAAGTCCCCATATGCAAATCTTGCTTTAGCCCCACCTATGGCCAAACTATTTGAATTCTATGACGGCAAAACCTGTATATAAATTTCTGAGGGATGCGTGCCAAATTTGGATCTCCCAGAATTGTGTCCTTCCTGCTTCTCTCGTATTATGAAAATTGGCTTTATCGGATAGAATAGGTAGATACCTGTCACCCACTCTTTCAAAATTACTGATTAGAGTCTCTACATCATGTTGCTTATTACTAATTTTCTCAGGGCATATCTTTGAATAAAAATAAACTGAAAACATGGGCAAGAGGGGTTCAGGCCACCTGGGGGACAGAGGGGTGGCTTTTGAAATGCTTTGGTGAGCGTAATTTGATTAGCGGATTAATAACAATTTCAGTTCTGCTATGGTCGTCTCGTTCGAAAAGGTAGCTAGAATTTGGTTTTCTTCACCTACACTGCTGGTTGTATTCTTTGTTCTGATATCCATCTCTTGCCATTTCTGCAAATCTTGTATTTGCCCGGAAATCTCCCCTCATTATTAACTGGAATGAAACCATATCCAGCTCACTCCGATACAACAGTTGCAAGGATGCTTGTTGGGAACAAATGTGACCTGGAGAGTATTAGGGATGTGACAGTCGAGGAGGGGAAGAGTTTAGCAGAATCAGAAGGGTTGTTCTTTATGGAGACTTCTGCTTTGGATGCCACAAATGTCAAGACAGCATTTGAGATCGTTATAAAAGAAATATATAACAATGTGAGCAGGAAGGTTCTAAATTCGGATGCATATAAAGCAGAGCTCTCTGTTAACAGAGTAACCTTGGTTGGTAATGGGACCGATGGATCGAAGCGGAGTCAGAGCTATACTTGCTGTTCCTTGTGATTCTGTAGTTGCGAAATTCTTTCAAGTTCGATGATGGAAACTTCATTGTCGATTCTCTTGGTTGAGCTGTCTGTTTGGTTTTGCTTTGTTTTTCTCTTCAGGGGTTTTTAAGGTGCTGTTATAGCAAATTTTATTCAAGCATATTAATACATCAATTTTTTTTTGGGGTTCAAGATATATGTAATAGCAAAGAATAAGGTGGACCTGCGTTTTGTTTGTGTGATTGGGAATTATGTCTAATTACATATGTTGGCCGAGAGGTTTGCATATTTTGTTCCCGACAGAGGCAAGATAAATGTAAGTTATTTTTGTTATGACTGATTCCTTCTTTTCTTTTCCGTTTGTGCAAATATCGGAATGACAGGACTAGTAATTTGCCAATGGCACGAATTGGCACATGATTTGTTGCGTGAAACTACTACATGTAGCATTTATATGGGGGGTATAGTTCAGTGTTCGGTGGATTGTTGGGAAACTTGTCGAAAGGAGATAGTCCACACAATGCGATCCATTGGCTGCCCGTATTGAATTTTTTCCTCTCTAAACGACGACCGCGTTAGTATGTAAACATCAACCAGAATAACAAGTATAACTTTGTTGATAGCAGACCCGATTTTAACTTCAGTTCTTGCCAAGTCATTCCAACAACTCTTTCCTTCTTTAAAGTGGTTCAAGCAATTTAGTTTTGGGTGGAGGGTCGACTGTGGTTGTGGGATTGATATGGGTATTGATGATTACGAACCCAATCTCACAAGAAAGGAAGAGGGAAAACCAACCCTACCAACAATTTTCTCAACTGTCAACACTCAAGAGAGGAAAAAGAAAAGAAAAGAAAAAGAAGTATGCGCAGCCGCCAGGGGAGGCAAAAAGGAATAAGATTATCAAGCACTAGTCACTACAAATTGACCCCCAGGAGGATCAGATGTCGTGCAGAGAGAGAGAAATATCTTTGTGGTTGGTAGCATTATAAGTACTTCAACCAAAATGAGCTTCGCTCCATCACGACTCAAATGATCACTAGATTTGCTGCACCTTAAATCTTCTAGAAGCCTTTGCTTCAATCAGCAACACATCTTTCTTTTCAACTGCTGCTCTTTGTGGGAAGAGACAATGACACTTTCGGAAAAGAGAGAGAGAGAGAGAGAGAGTTGCTGTTTTTTATTTCCTCATTTTTTTTTGCCTAACATGATTTTGGGAGCTTTTTCAACCCACTGATCGAGACCTCCAGTACTTGGCCATTTCAAACCCATTCTTGCCATAGTGATAGTCTTCGATGGCTTGATCGATTTGAGCGGGCGTGTTCATCACAAAAGGCCCGTGCTGGACCACCGGCTCATTCAGCGGCTGCCCGCCTATCAGCACGAATCTCAACGGCTTCGAAGACTGGTTCCACACACTCACCCCATCACCAGGACCTAAAACCAGTAAGTTGTGCGCTGACACAGGAGACGAGCTGACGGAGCCGAAAACACCTTCGCCTTCTATGACGTACACGAAAGCGGTCCATGACTCGGGAATGCTCTGATTCAATCTCACTCCCGGCTTGAGAGTAAAATCAAGGTACATGGTCGGGGTTCTCGTGTAGACTGGAGACCTCACTCCCATTGCTTCTCCTGCGATCACCCGGACTTCAACCCCATCATCCTCCGCCGAGCCTATGTCCTCGCTAAGCAATTCTTGATACCGCGGCTCAATCCTGCGGTTCAACGAACAAATAGAAAACAAAAGACGGTTTAATGCCAAAGTCATCAGCTAACTTGCATATTCACTAAACGTTGCTGTTTTTCCATACTGTGATGTTTCTGTAGCAGAAACTAAACGTGAAAATCTACAGGAGCAGACAACAGCAGCTACCATAGGAAATTATGGAATCGTTCCTATGAACACATGAACTATGCACTCCATCCCATTGTCATCGTATATTCAAGAATCAAACCCCAAATTCCAAATTAATTTTCTTTTTTTATTCTCTCTTTCGGAAACATTCCCCAACTTTTCAGCATCGTAAAATCGGGCGAGTAAGTCGCGAGGAAAATTCAATGAGCGATCCATATTGCGAGTCCCCCCTTCTAAGGACAATATAGGCACGCAAACAAACACACAGTCGATTGTTATTATTGGGAGGGAAGAGAAGAAGAAGAAGAAGAAGAAGAAGAAGAAGAAGAAGAGTAGTGATGGATGCTCGTACATTTTGTCTCTGGAGGAGAGATTAATCCAGAGCTGGAGCCCCTTATTCACTCCTTCTCCCGCAGGCATCTCCGAGTGGAGGATTCCTCTTCCTGCCGTCATCCACTGCGGAAAGGTGGAGAAAAGAGGACAGTATCAGGAATTCAATCCCCTTCAGTCCATTGGACCAGTTTCATGGGATTATTAACAAAAGGAAGGAAATGACAGAAGCAGAAAAAGAAGAAAGAAGAAAAGAAAACAAGAAAGAGGAGAGAAGTTCATTGACCTGCACATCCCCTGTTCGTATGGTTCCCTTGTTCCCGGCGAAATCTTGATGGGCGAAGGCACCCTGAACACCCAAAAGAGAGAGAAAAAAGATTCAGCGTCCTTGGTGTCGCAAATTCAACCCATCTCACCAGAATATCCGCGGCTCGATCAAACGACTCGCCTGGAGCATGTAAGTGACAGTTTCGAACCCTGTGGAGATTGGGATAACAACGAGAACCGAGTCAACAACAATGAACATTCTCGTATCGATCCGAGAGTAACCAAAATGAACCCAAGAAGGTGCGAACCTCTGTGGGGATGATCAGGAAATCCAGCCGGAGGAGACACTGCAAAATTCGACAAGCCATTTGAGGTTTAATTAGGAGAACGCTAAATAATCACCAGCACCACACTAGACAACCCAATAGAGAAAAGAAAACAAAAAACACATCTTTTTGGGGGGAAGAGACCTGAGAACTCGTCCAGCAAGAGAAAGGGGTCCAAGTTCCTCAATTCATTCCTGCAAAATCCAACCACCCACGAAAGCTCACGATCATTTGGGATCTCGCAAACGGGGAAGGAAGAAGGGAAGAAAATTGGCCCGGAAAGAGCATCGGACCCACCAAGGATCAAATCAAATGCGGGGAAGAAAAACAGAGCTGTGGGGAGAGAGAGACGGGACGGGGAGGGAGGGGGAGCAGAAAAGTCCAAAAAAAGAAAAAAGAAGAGAACCTGCCAATGCTTCTGCGGACGACGGCGCCCTGGCCCTCGTGCTGCTGCTTGGCCAGGACCCTCTTGACCACCGCCCGGGGGGAGGTGAAATCGGGACGAGACATGGCGCTCCTGATCAGAGCAGGGGTAGGGGGGGCGGGGGAGAGGGGAAGAGGATGGAACAGCAGAAGAAGCCTAAGCCTGTGGGTGTGGGAGACCCCAAGAAACAGGACCATCAGCGGCAGCAGCGGCAGCCCACCATCAAGCCTCGCTCTCATATAAAGAAAGAAAGAAATGAATACCCTTTTGAATTCAGGGAGGCTTTATTTATAGGGGGGCGCGGTGGGGGGGGGGGCCGATTTTGAAGGGAAGGGAATTGAATGTGAGGGGGGGAGGGGGGGGAAAGGAAAAGGATGGATGGAGAGGAGGCCAAAAGCCAAAAGGACGTGTGGGAAACGGCCGAGGAGGATAGAAAGAACGAAAGAGAGAGAGAGAGAGAGCAGCTGCCGAAGGAGAAAATCGGTTGGTCCGACGCATGAGGAAGTTAGGGAGCAAGGGGGTGGGCCAGTACGAGTTTCGCCCTGACGTCACCCTCGCGTCACGGTGATGTCACCGCTTCTTGGTCCTCGCGGGACCTTTTTGCCCCGCCCATCCCATGGGACTATGGGAGGGTGATGAAAAAAACCATCATATTCCTTTTTTAGTGGCTATTAAAAAAAAATGATCGCTTCTTTTCCGAAAGTCAAAAATGTGCACGTCGGGGGAAATTTGGGTATTTTTTTTCACAATATTGGATCATATCTCCCTCTTTTTATCCAATCTCGAATTTGGAAATTTGATTTCTTGCACAACATGAATTGAATTTTCTGGGCTCCCAATTAACTTCGCTTAGTTCGACATGCGTTGTAGAATATTCAATTGAATCCTAGGAATTGCTCGTTAAGTGCCGTGACGCCGTTGTTGACGATGCGCCGGTCTTGATTTCAAGTAGCCATGGATATGCATCGTGATGTCGCGCTTCTCGATCTTTGCGAACCTAATTGCCCGCCCTTGAGCGATTAAAAGTTTAAAACCGTTTTTTCTTAGTGATTATTAATAATAATTGCCTTTTCCGAAAGTCAAAATGTGCACGTGGGGCATTGGGTGTTTTCACGTATGGGACTAATTCTTTTTATCCAATCTCAAATTTGGAAATTTGATTTCTTACGCAACATGGATTCAATCTTTTGGGCTCCCAATTAGCTTCGCTTAGCTCAATACGTATCATAGAATAGAATTGCTCGTTAAGTGCTCTAACACGGTCCCTGGCGATGCGCCGATTTTGATTCGAAGTAGTCACGAATACGTTCCATGAGCATGTGCGCCCCCCCGCTCACCATGCTCCGATGATCTATCTCGATCTCTTCCACAACTCGTTCCGTTTCGAAGTATTGCCGGTGGTTTCCAGTTTTCCGAGATTGCATTGTGCCTCTCACGTGCCGGTGCCGGTGCCACTTTGGAGATGAATGGAAAATTTCTCTCATTTCCCAAAAATTGGATGGGGGGTGATGAAGGAATGGATGGGGGATGACAAGATGATGACAAGTAGGTGATGCTCTTGCTCTCCCAATGGGCATGACTCCTCCTCCTCCTCCTCCTCCTCCATTCAAAAAAAAAAAAAGAAAGAGAAGGAAATTCGACCTTTCTGGTCTCAAATCCAAAGCGTTTTTGGAGACGTTGACCCTCGGAGGAGTTTGCGTTGCGTGTCGTATCGTATCCTAATATTCCGATTGTGTTTGCTTCCCCAAATCCGATGGTTGTTGGCTCGTTAGTGCATCGTCGTTGACCATTTACATGGTCTTCTCAACACACACAAAAATAAAGGACAAGATTATATAATATGTATGTATGTATGTATGTATGTATGTATGAGAGGGTTTCTTGCCAATTTTATATATATATATATATATATATATATATATATATATATAATCGTTTTGGCAGGTTAATGTTTGCAATTTTGGGGGCTCCATTTCATTAATTAGCTCTGAATCAACAAAGTTATGACAGCAAAACCACAGAAAACAATCAATTTAGGAGCCTTTCATTCATATAGGGAAATTTAGCCAGACGGTTTCAAACCTTATTGCGCAGATGTCGATTCACTTCTGAACCTTTCAATTTTGCCCTAAATCTATTTGCGAAAATTCAAATATCGTTTTTCCGGTTAATTTTCGCCGGAAAATCGCCAACGTGGCATCCGTACGATAAGGTTAGTATCGATTGCGGTCCAGATTCCTGTTAAGAAAAAATTGGCCCTGGCAATCCACGTGTTTACAGATGTGTTCCATGTTTCATAATAGTCAAATCATAAACACGAAAATGCATAGACGAAAGGGTGAATTGAAAATAATTTATTTTATTAAAAAGAAAAAAGAGAGGAAGGAAGAAGAAGAAGAAGAGGAGGAGGAGTCGGCTTCCAATAAATGAGTCGTGGGTCATCACAGCCGGCACAGTCGTGCATGCTTTGCCAATTGCCAACCGTTGTGGTGTGTTCATGCAATTCATAGAAATAGATGACATCAAGTCTTCTCTAAGCATGGCGTTAGGGCTTTGATGTCCCCAAGACTTTTGGTAAATTAAGAACACCCCCCCTCTCCCTTGCATTTCCCACCAGTAGCAAAAACCTCATCTTCCAAATAATTAGCAACTTTGGCAAGATCAAGACATTGGTTCTTAGTTATTCCCCCCCTAAACAAGGAAAATTGTCTAAACAGTCTTAAACTTATTGTACGACGGTCAATTCAGTCCTAAAAATTTTAAATTGTGCCAATTTAATCCTAAGCCTATTGTATGGTGGTCAATTCAGTCATGAACCTTTCAAATGTACCAATTTAATCCTAAACCTTTTTATGATTTGCCTATTTAGTCCCAATCGTTTTAATGAATTGTCAATGTAGTCATTATACTAATTTTGACTGGAAATCGCTGACGTGGTGGTTTAGTCAACGCCGGTCGTCCAACGTAACGTGACCGACGCTGCCGTGGATAAATTTTTTTAATTTTTAAAAAAAATTCGAATTTTTTGTTCTTTTCTTCTTCATTAAGTTGGTAGGGTCACCAGAAACTGGGAGAGGGCTAACAAGGGTGTTGTGAGCCTTTACTAGGCCCTCGTGGGCCACAACAACGGAATCGCAGTCCTCGCCTGCCCTCGCTGTGGTCGGCGGACCCACCACCACAATGAAGAAGAAAAGGAAAAAAAAGAAAAAAAATCAATATGGCCCTAAATCCTTTTGGCCAAGTATCATTTGAAATTGCTAAGGTGACGGTCCAATCACCCCTTTGAGCCGTGTGACCCACCGCATGCGTTGCCCATGTCTCCTAGGACTAGTGCTACCTTGCCCGGGTCACACGCATGCGTTGCCCATGTCTCCTAGGGCTAGTGCTACCTTGCCCTCCTCTTTTCAGTGATCGGCGCTACTCGATCAGTTGTCAAGTCTCGAGACCGATCAGTTGTTGAGTCTCGAGACCATGGCCACCGCCCGCCTAAGCTCCCTTTGTGTACACAGAGAGAGAGAGAGAGAGAGAGAGAGAGAGAGAGAGAGAGAGAGAGAGAGAGAGAGAGAGAGAGAGAGAGAGAGAGAGAGAGAGAGAGAGAGAGAGAGGATGAAGACGAGCATGGGGTGACTGAGGCAGAAAGGAGGGAGCAGAGAGGATCCACCGCATTCGTGTACGTGATTGCACTTGGGGGTTTGTTTGGACTCCCAGAAGGGAATGAACTCCATTACTACAAACGGGATGATGGCGAACCTGTTTGCCAATGATCATACACAATTATTGCGAAACTTAGCGATCAAACTCCCGCTTGGAAATGAAACATACCCGAGGGGATAAAACATCATAGAATCCGACAATTGTTAGTAACTCAGAAGAAATATCAAATTTAACTCCAAGACCCAAGTCAACAATAATGGACAGTTTCCTTCGGTCCTCCAAAGAAAAGCTACTCCAAAGAAAAGCTACTGCCTACAACTTATTGTCACGGACCAAGCCAAATCATACGACAAGAAATAGCACGAGTTTCCCAAGTAGTTTCTGAATCCTGCTCGACCCATCTACCGCAATCGCATTGCGCGCAGACTAGGCCCGTTCAATCTTTTTTTCTCCCCACAACCAAAGCATAAAAGAAAATACCCGGAACGACGACCAAAATTATGCCGACGTTGATTATGAATTCCCAGGCTTCGTTTCTGCAGGCACAAGAAGAGGGACCTCCCTTTCGCCCGCATCCATAGCAAAATTCAGTTTGACATCTGCATAAAAACCGACGCTTGAGGGTCCCTTTTTAAGGTTGCTTTTTATGTTACTGGGATCTAAACTAAATTAGCTGAGTAACCAGAATTTACGTGCCCTTACATATTCATGCATGCACAATTACAATTATATAAAAGAGCACGTTAGGACACTGGAAATAAGAAGCTTAGTCATTTATTCAAGTCAAAGCAAGAGATGCGACGGGTAGAAACATATTAGAATATACATATAAATTTTCTTAAAGATTAAGATAGTACTAGGTAGAATAATAACTGTGTAAGGATCATCAAACCTAAATAAGCTCTTTTTTTCGAACCTTCAATCGAGTCTTTCTTAAGTCATCTACGATTCTTCTTCGACAGTGATCTTCTATAGGATACGGTGCTTTTTAAGTATGAAATGAGAAAGAAAAAGAAGAAGAAGAAGTAGAAGAAGAAGAAGAAGAAGAAGAAGAAGAAGAAGAAGAAGAAGAAGGAGAAGGAATTATTTGTAAAAATAACCTCGAATTTGGCTCAAATGGCTAAGTGATCAGTGACGGGACACTAAACGGTATTTACATACTATACAATTAAAAGAAGAGTTAATGAAGGGGTGATAAAGCATCAGAGTCGAGCCTCCGCATTCTTCAATTCCACACGATTTTGATTCGGTTTGCAAGTAATAGAGGGTAGTGAAGTATCATCCCACGTTACTTGATTACTGGATTTGACCAAGCTTCAATATATATATATACTAACACTCAGTGTGTTCTGGATCTATCCAAAGAAAAAGGTAAATATACGACAAGTCGAACCTAGGTTTGAATTGAGAAAAACCAATATCTTCACCTGAAGCTATCCTAATCCTCATTACTGGACATAAGGCAAATTAAAACGCACGAATTCGTTCATGGAGGTGGGCCGAAAAAAGGGTTAATCAAAGAAAGTTTACCTGCACACGATCTTGTTGCAAACTCCATGGCGCTCCACATAAATCTTACATTGCGGACACCGCTTCCATTGCTGCCTCTTCGCAAGACGTTCCAGCAGATGAACATTCTCGTTGCGAAACAAACCGAGTTGATTGCAACTGGGACACTTGAATCTCCTCACACCCGCACCCCCTCCACACTCGTTTATAATCATCTCTCCGCAATTCGAGTTCGGACAGTAACACCTCGCAAAATCTAGGATGGCCGATTCGCATAGAAGGTTGCACCATCGGCCAAACCACATGCTCGGGACAAGCCGTTTGCAGCAAACAGGATCTAGCACCGCCGCACAAGCCGACCCGGGACATCGCACATTCGCCGCTCCATCCTGGATCCTCGCGACGATGTATGAGGACATGCAGTCACTGCAGAAGGAATGTTCGCATCGCTCTGTGGTCTTGAAGATTGAGATCGATGGAACATCTTCCATGCATATTCCACAATGTACGGTTGTTGTGGGAGGTCGTGCTCCCAAAGTGAAACCCAAATTGCAACTCAAAGAGAAACTCCACCCTGAATCACTCATGGTGGTGGTGACTTTCAATTTCTTCATGCTGTACATAGTAAGTTGCATGTGCATTATATACTATAATTCCTACCAGGATTCTGTTACTAGTAGTATCCAGCGAAGAAACTTATCGGCCAAGCAAACCTATATCCTGTTATTAAATGAGTGTACTTACTACTGATAACCTTTTGGAAGATACAAAATATTATTCCAAATCTTCTTAATGAGTTCCTTACTTATAATAGCTAAAGAAAAGTTACGAAAGGATATTTCGCAGGTAAAGTACTATTAGTGAGGATAATTACGTAGGCCAGAGAAAAGTTGCAATTGATTTGGTAATTTGCTAAAATATAGGACAGCAAAATTTTACTAATGACTTAAGTGAATTGCTTATTTTTACGAATAAAACGAATTATAAAACCTACAAAACTTACGACAATAAAAGGGAAATTACATCCTGTAAAGAGAAGTTACAAATAGATATGTTTGAGGTACATTAGTAATGATGAGGAAAATTACGAAGGTCAAAGAAAAGTTACAATTGGTTATGTTATTTACTAACAGTATGAGAAGGAAATTTACTATTAACTTAAGTAGATTACTCTTTTTTATGGCATATTACGAACCCAAAGGAAAATTACGTGCTGTAAAAAAAGTAATCAAAGATGTGTAAAATGAACATTACTATTAGGGAGGACAACTACGTAAAGAAAAGGAAAGTTACTATCAATTAGGTAGTTTACCAACGATAGAAGAAAAGAAGTTTACTATTAACTTAGATAGATTAATAGTTTTAAAGAATATTATGAATCACAAAAACATCCACTTAGGAAAAATTATAAAAAGATATGTAACAGGATAACGTTACAAACATTTGAAGTGTAGATTAAAAAAACAAAAGTCGTATAATAAAACTTAAAAGCTTTGTCTTTATCTATAATTTTGATATAGTAAATTAAATGCATAAATGAGCAATAGTTTCTTCATTAAGGACACTGCATTTTTTTTTGATGCGGCTGAATCAAATTATTTGAATAAAATATCATTTGAGGTACATGAGCAATAGTTTCTTCATTAAGGACACTGCATTTTTTTTTTCATGTAACAGAATCCCTGTACTTTCTTAGTACTTTTTTAAATGTTCCATGCTAGTTCTTCTTTTAATTTTTTCTTTTACCGGTCAAATGAAAGGAGCTCATCTGGTAAATACGGAATGGTCAGTTGGCGTGATAAATACAGAATGTTCAGTTCCTTTCAACAGCAACATCAAACAATTCAAAACAATTTGACTTGGACAAATTTACTCAAAACGATGTCTGTTTTAGTAATTTTGTGAATTTGATAAATTTTTCCTTCTGTTTTTCCCTTTTCTTTCCCTCTTTTCCGCGCAACTGATGGTTTTGAGCTAAATTTACAAAAAATTAAAGGATAATTTTGATAATGGATGTGAGATTCCCAATTTACAAGTCCTGAGGAATTGTCCTTATTGCTATGATACAAGTTGAGATATATATTCTGGTTCAAAGAGAATCTAAAAAAGAAACTTAATATCTCCAAATAATTGGCGACACTTTTCATGAAAAGAGTAAGGGTAAATCGAAAGTTGCAACTCTTTGTTTGATTGCCTAAAAAGTGCCTAAAGGCATTCTTAAATGAATATTTTGATTATTTGTAGAAAAGAATTCATAAATGAGCCTTTACTTAAGGAAAGAAACATAAAGTGGTTCCCGCATCTGATGTTTCCATGCGTCCAGAGGCTGCTCCATAATCATCGCCTCTTTCTTCCTTGAAAGGGAGAAAAGGTCATTTGCCTACGTTTGATAGATTCAATCGTCTCTCGAATCATTTTACATGGTCCAAATCCAAAATTGGCCCCTTTTAGTTTTAGTGTTCCTTTCCAATTTCATCCTCCACATTTCTTTCTTTTGTAAAGATCATGTCCCTAACTCATTCTTCCGATTAAGTCCCTTTTACCGTTCCCGCTGAAGACGCAAGACAATGCCGTGGCATGATAGCAAAGCGCGAGAAATTCCGTTCTTTTCTAAGGGAGGCAATGATAATGGCAGCCAGCCACCACTCGCAAGGGTGGACGGTAGTGGCAAACGATGCCACGATTGGCTGAGTCGACAGTTGAGGTTCCGATGCTCATCCCATTGCTTGAGCTCGTCACTCAAGCAAAGGGTTCAACTATGTCACCTTAGCACCACGAAACAGGCAAGGACTGAGTTTCAACTCGGGAGCTCAACCTGGCCTCTTCGCGAGCTAGGTACAACTCGGGCTGAGGGTCCCCTCCATTTTATAGTACCCAGGATTTCACATAGCAAAGCTGTCGTAAGGCTTTCAGAAATTGAACTCCAACCCCTCGCATCTGCGGACAAAGTTTCATGCTACTAGGATCTCATGGTAATAATGTTATCCTATTCAGGGGAAAGAGGACCGTACCAAAAGAGAACATTCACAAACTGAACTCAACAAAATTTAGATTGCAAAGAAATGGTATACAATGTTTACACTTTGCCGCTTTACAAGTAGCTGCCTATTTATCGTGGACTCTACTTTTACCCTTTATTTCATTCGTGATGTTTACTGGACCAAAGAGGCAGATTTGCAGATTTCCTTTGACTACCCGTTCATGGAAGTAGTTCTTATACAAATCCCAGAATTCGTCTCTGCAACACAAAGCCTATATGAATGAGGACTATACTCAAGAATGCATGAGAATGGAGGTTCATCGACATGCAATCGAGTAAAACATGTACCTGACTTGTGGAAGTGTTAAAAGGGAATAGCCCTTCACGTCAGTGTGCATGTCCAGCAATATTACTGATAACCGAGAAAGCCCCAATGCTTCAATGTCAATTAGTTTCTTTATTCTGCAATCAGATCAGTGTCGTCATCAAGAAAGCAGACTGTGAATCATAAAAAAGGAATGACAATGTTTTATCACAGGGTCGCGGAAACTTTAAATTAATGTGTCTATTTGCAATGACGAATTATTTTCTCAAGAACATCCAACCGGAGAACTACAGTTATGATGGGTTTCAGACAGATTTTAGGTTATTGGTTACATAAATGAGCTAGGTTCGATATTCCATTTTATAGCCTAACTCAAGTCTTGGTGGTGTTGACTGCATGGCTTCAGCCAAACCCAAATCTGCCTCACTGACAATAATTAGCATTTCTTTCAACCTAATACTAAAAGAGAAATTATCGGCCTTGCCACCCTCCATCATTCAGTTTGGTCAATTAAGAGCCAAAAGCGGACAGAGCCACCCATCATCTTCAAAAGTACCTGAACAATTACTATAAACAGACTAGTGTTGGAACCTTCGTATTTAGGTCAACTTCAATCTACTGTAATCAATATCAAACAGGACCTTCAAAGATGGGGAAAAACCTCAGCTGTTCAGGGCAGGGCACACTCCTTTGAGCATGAGGCACACTCCTTGGAATCAAGGCATGTGCTCTTCAGGGCAACAGGTGACCCCTTGGGTCACGGGCATGCCCCTCAAGATCACAGGTGTGCTCCCTAAGGTCATGAGCATGTCCTTCACGATGGTGTGCTCCTAATGTTCAGCGGTGCACTCTTCACAACAATTCTGATTTCAGAACTCATGTGGGTCCAGGGGTAATTGATTACCAGGTTTGAGGCATGGACAATACTAATGCCAGAGGTGTACCATCAAGCCTTATCGAACTAAAGGCATTTAAGTAATTTTGACTTCATAATGGGAGCTCAACCGTACTCAATGTAATTTCACGCATGTCCCAATGCATTCAGAGAAGGACCTAGATTGCTACATTGAGCACCCAATTCTCCGTGGAATCAACGGAAAAACCTGTGCTCCCACTCCTAGCCTCTCTCTACATCTTAAGAGTTTTTGATTACTCGTTGAGAAAGGAATATGACCGAACTTCGTTTTAAAGACGAGGACTTTTTCCAGTATTTTCACACTCCAATAGGAATTTCCACTTGTACAAATATTCGATTTAAAGAAACACAAACCTGTTTGGAGTACCACACGCGATATTGACACGGTTTTTTAACATGGCAACCTGCAGGGACCAAACATCCAAAATATGCTTAGAAAATCCCACAGTTAAAGCTAAACAGGTATAAAGAAACTGCTCCTCATAATAAAGGAACTAGGGAAGACATGTCAAGGTAAAAAATCATCCCGTTCTCCCCAACTAGGAATCAATATAACAGAAGCAACTGAGCATCCAATGTAGTGCTGATGATCAAGATAATGCAGAGTGACATCCCAAAAAGCATTGAAGTAAACAAGCACATACAATTTGCACTCAGTGCATCTGTAACTAATAAGCATCAGATTGAAGTACAATGATGATAAGAAAAAAGAGAAGAATGAATATTTTATCCCAAATACAACTTATCCGACTTTGCTTGAGAGCAAACAAGGACAATTACAATACTTAACAAAAAAACAAATCGTGTGCACATGTCCCATCGCAGTTGCTTCTCAGTAGCAGGGAGCTATAGCCATTACATTAATGCACATAGGAATAGAGAGAGAGAGAGAGAGAGAGAGAGAGAGAGAGAGAGAGAGAGATGAATTTCAAGGTCCAGTTTGAGGTTTAAAATTTGCTGGTGTTTCTAAATACCTCAATGGACATGGCCAAGCAGAGGGACAAATCTAATTATAGCCAAAGCAATCACATGCCGCTAATGTCAGCAACTAGGCTGATGACGATTACGCATAGTTTGCCACTTAGAACTGTATATAGGTCATATGAGCATAAGAAAAGCAAATCACAAAAAATGGTGGGAACTTTGGGATCAGACTGACGTGCAAAATATATAATTCAGCAGGGCTGCTGCCTCGGATAATCAATTTTGGTATCATCATGTCCCAAAAAGGAAATTGCAAATGATCAATTTAGTACTTAATAGAATGAGAATGAAAGCTTCATCACATAATGGTGAAATATATTTATGTAGACGCCCCACCAACCTCTCTTTCATCTATGCTTCAAAATTCTCTCTTCTTCCTTAACTTTTCCTTGTCCAATAATTTGCACATTAGGCAGAGTTTGCTGTCCTTAGAGAAAGAATCACTATATCTCATAACTGTAATATTTAATAAGACCCACTGCTCATACAGATTTTACATTTACATGAGTCCTTACAAAAGGAAATCCATTGTACAACTAGACTCCTAATAGTATTCATGTACTAATCCATATTAGACATTGAACAAAAAATTCTGTCCTCACGATTATCGCCAGCATCTAAATGATGGGTTTATCATGGAAGTATTTTGATATATCCTCTGAGTTTAATAGAGCTATGATGCGCAACTGTTGAACTTCTATTCATGCATTCACTCCATATATGGAATTCGAAACCACGAAGCCCAACTCCAATTAGAATCTGATACAAAAAGTAAAACCATAGCATCGACAAGTTGGTGAAGATCCCAAGAATGGGAAGAAAAAAGAAACATTGATGGGCATGAGGAACATAAATAAAAAACCAAGAAGCACCAGGAAGTTGGGATCAGACTGACGTGCAAAAAATGTACTCAGCAGTGCTGCTGCCTTAGATAATTACATTGTGGTGGCATCATATCCCAAACTTTGAACTGGCACAAAACCAAAAAACCAGAAAAAACCAGAGGGAAGATAATGTGGGTGCTAAAAAAATATTTCAGAATAACAGAAACAACTTAAGATCAACTAGAGTCCTAAGAGTATTCATATACTGATCCACATTAGACATTGAACAAAAACTTCTGTCCTCATGATTATCGCCAGCATCTAAATGATGGGTATATCATGGAAGTACTTTGATATATCCTCTGAGTTTAGTAGAGCTATGACGTACAACTATTGAACTTCTATTCATGCATTTACTCCATATATGGAATTCGAAACAATGAAGCCCAACTCAAATTAGAATCTGATACAATAAGCAAAACCACAGTATCAACAGGCCGGTGATGATGAGGAATTATTAATCCCAAGAATGGGGAGAAAAAAGAAAAACGGATGGGCATGAGGAACATAATTAGAAAACCAAGAAGCACCCAGAAGTTGGGATCAGACTGACGTGCAAAAACATGTACTCAGCAGTGCTGCTGCCTTAGATAATTAGATTGTGATGGCATCATATCCCCAACTTTGAACTGGCACAAAACAAAAAAACCAGAAAAAAACCAGAGGGAAGATAATGTGGGTGCTCGAAAAATAATTTTGGAATAACAGAAACAACTTAAGATCAACTACTCCTAAGAGTATTCATATACTGACCAGTATTAGACATTGAACAAAATATTCTGTCCTCACGATTATCGCCAGCATATAAAATAATGGGTTTATCGTGGAAGTATTTTGATATATCCTCTGAGTTTAATAGAGCTATGACGTGCAACTATCGAACTTCTATTCATTCATTTACCCCATATATGGAATTCAAAACCATGAAGCCCGACTCAAATTAGAATCTGATACAATAAGCAAAACCACAACATCGACAAGCCGGTGATGATGAGGAATTATTAATCCCAAGAATGGGGAGAAAAAAGAAAAATGGATGGGCATGAGGAACATAGTTAGAAAACCAAGAAGCACCCGGAAGTTGGGATCAGACTGACGTGCAAAAAAATGTACTCAGCAGTGCTGCTGCCTTAGATAATTACATTGTGGTGGCTTCATATCCCAAACTTTGAACTGGCACAAAACAAGAAAACCAGAAAAAACCAGAGGGAAGATAATGTGGGTGCTAGAAAAAATAGTTTGGAATAACAGAAACAACTGAAGATTAGGTAGATAAAAAGCAGTTCACAAGCATATCCCAAGTACTTTGGATATGTCCAGATTTAGAAAATGACAAATTCTATAGGTATTTTACCTTAACTTCAAAGCATGCTGTACCATTGTAAGTTGTAACATGTCCCACAACAATAGCATTGCGAAGTACGATGATAAAACTCCATCAATTTTATAAATCAACAAGGACGAAGAATCTCGCGTGCGTTCATCCATTCTAGCAATTCTAATTAGCAGGAGGGGAGCCACCTAATCCAGATATTTAGTATAAGAACTAACTCAATGAATAGAAGAGTTAGAACGTAAAGAGCAGAACATATTCTAATAAGCATAATTAAGAGCTTCCTGAACTACATAAAGCAAGAAAATGTGCACATCCCATGAGGACTCTACGGTGAAGTCCTCAGCATACAAAGGTCCATCTCCCTCGATGTACTAGACCTATCAGGAAAAGAAAAACAGAGAAAGCAGAGAACAGGGCTAGCTTTTTATGATCATTGAGCTGCATTACATGGGGCAAATGGCTTAATTAGGAAGTCGAACACATCAAAATCACAATTGCATCAATGACCCCCAATGTATCCACGCTATGGAAAGAACGGAAACAGAGAAGTCAAATCAAATACAGAAACAATAGCTTTCCCATATGCTTTCTTAAACCACATCACATCAGCAGGATGTTCCACTCACAAACTTGGAGGCAATAATCGTGAACACCCAAAAACCCACATGATACTATCAATAACCAAGTATATGCATGAGCACTCACGGGCATTCAGGGCAGCTGAACAAACCTAAATATGGATAACATACCTGTTCCTCTACTTTTATATGCTTTGAGAACAATTTGGCTGGATGACACACCCTAGTTAGTGACCTAAAGCCCCTAAAGAAACAGAATGAAAGTGTTAGTGTCCAATAAAAGCATTAAATAATCATGCTATATAATTGCTAGAGTTGGAAATTCATTTTGTTATCTTATAATTGCGTCATGCCAAATTCTATGTATAACACAGATTTGCCCAACAATACTTGGAAAAAAAAAAAAAAACTGCAGAGCACAACACGTGTAACATGTTAAAGAAATGACTTTGCATATAAAACGTGTAAAAATATGTTTCAACGTACATAAATAAGTACAATGCGGAAAAACGCATATCCAACACGATTAACCACTCGGATAAATGATTCGTGTGGCAAACTGACAGATCTAAAACTGCTCCAATTGCATCTCGGTTTAGAAGCCATGAAGTTCTCACGTCATGTAGAAGGTATAAATTCCTTGTAAGAAGTGGGAAAGGAGAAGTAACCAGACCTTAGAAGCTCTATCGTTCTTATGGCAGATGCCGTGATGGCGATGATAGCTGGACTTCCTGGATCAATTTTTCCTTGCTCAAGAGTTCCCTCATAGAGCACTCCCTTCCACGAGGGGCCAAAAGCCGCCTTTATCTGTTTCCCCGGGCTATCAACATCTAGTTCAGGGCCCTGAGATAACTCCAGAATGCATGTGTCTGCGTATTTGTAAAATGAAGTACGTAATCGTTAGATAAATCTCAGAGACAAAAAGAGAAGGAGTATCTAGCACGACTCAATCACCAGCAACGAATTCTCCCCGGTAACTTCTCTATTTCCTAAAAATCTAAAAAATTTGTCAGATTCAGTCTCTTTCTCATTGCAGTCTTGCACTCAGCAAAACAAAGAGGAGAAACCGAACAGCAGCATCATAAATCTTCCGAAATGTGCAGAACAACCAGCCGTCGCGGAAGGGAAATGCGGTATTCGCGAATGGGCGATCGATTCACGAAGCAAGACCCGTGAACGAGAGAGAGAGACCGGCGGAAACGATAACAAGATGACGCGGAAGCAAAGCACGAACCTCCGATGGAATCCAGCTCGAGAGAGGAGAGATGGACGCCGTTGGCCGACTGGTACTGAGCGAGAAAGAAGCCGAGCTGCTCCGAAGCCGATGCCGGCGGCTGCCCCGCCGCGTTCTCGCCGCTCGGCATCGGTTCTTCGCGGTGGGCGTCGACATCCTGGCCGGTCTCCTTCTTCTTCTTCCTCTGCTTCTTCTGCTTCTGCTTCTTGAAGCGAGGATTGGATTGAGAAGAGTGAGGGTTTTGGGGAGAGAGTCTCGAGGGTTTGTGACGTCCTCCTCCTCCTCCTCTTCCTGCTGCTGCGCTCCTCCTACTTCCCATGGCGGAAGGGACGCAAGACTAGAGCTGCCAGCTAGGGTTTTAGGGAAGGATCCCATCCTCATCTCTCGCTTCGCTTTTAAAACCCTGGCGCCAACTCCCGTGGCCACGGTTCGGAACCGACCGGTTCCGCTTCGTGGCCAAGTGTGAACCGGAACCGGCCGGTTCCGGGCCGGTTCCGATTTTTTTTTTCTGTTTTTTTTCTTTTCCTTTTCCTTTTCTTTTTTTTTTCTTCCTCCGCGGCCGGCCATAGCCGGGCCGGCGCGGAGGTCGCCCGGCCATAGCCGGGCCGGCGCGGAGGTCGCCGGCCTCGGGCGAGGCGGCCCTCGCCGGCGTCGGGCGAGGCCGGCCTCGCCCGACGCCGGTGAGGTCGAGCCTCGCCGGTTGCCGGGCGAGGTCGAGCCTTGCCGGCGCCGGGCGAGGCCGGCCTCGCCCGGCCCGGCAGAGGCCGCCCTCGCCCGACGCCGGCGAGGGCCCTCGCCCGATGCCGGCGAGGGCCCCCTCGCCCGACGCCGGCGACCTCGCGCCGGCCCGGCCATGGCCGGCGCGAGGAAGAAAAAAAAATTAAAATATAAATTATAATTTTAAAAAACAGAAACAAGGAAAAAAAACAAAAGAGAAAAAGGAAAAACAGAAAAGGAAAAGAAAAAGAAGAAAAACAGAAAAAGAAAAACAGAAATGAAAATAAAAAAAATTAAAAAATACTATTCTTGTGATAGAACATTATTCAATATAAATTGTGATTAAAATGTAAATTGTACTCAAATTTGGGGACAAAAAGACAAGAAAGAAATAGAGGGCTTCAACTTAATAAATTATCATTAAGCACATTACAATTCGTTACAACGATCTTAAAAAAAAGGAGTACAATATATATACCCTAAAATTATCCCAAAACCTAAGCATTCCGTGCGCAGAGGACCAGAGGTCACATATCGTCGGATTATATTTCGGTTTCCCTAAGCTCACGTGGGCGTACCCGGTATGAGAAACAAGAGTTCCCGAAATATTTGCCAACTCCAATAGTTCTTTTACCCTCAATCATCACTACCCGTTCCAATACCGATACTGGTAGCGGTAGTATCTCCGTCGTTAAAGAATTCGGATTCATTATTCCGATCTATCTCTTGTTGCCGGTATTGAGCCTTCGTCCAATCAGCAACACAAGCTTGCATCTCCACTGATTCTGGATCTAATCTTGAACGATGTTCGTTCAAAATATTACCTCCGGCACTGAATGCTTGTTCGACCGCAACTGTGGAACAAAGGGTTGAAAAAATCTGTTTTGCAATAAGAGAAAGGATTGGGTATTGGCTTGCGTGCCTCTTCCACCAATCCAAAATAAAAAAATCTGTACCACCTTTCGACGATAAACTCAAATAAAATGGTTAGATAACTCTCTAATTCAGAAATATTTCCTATTACTCCCTTTTTTTTTTTTGTCTATGTAATAAAAGTTGGTACCCTCTACTAATTTTACCTGTATTGTCATTTTGTATCTCCGTAGATTGAGAAGATTTAATATCACCTAAATTATATTTAGTATAAAATTCATTATATAATTCTATTACTACGTTTTTAACCTCACGTACTATGGTTGTAACATTTGTCACATCATAATGTAAACATTGATAATACGCACGCAAAAAATCATTTAAGCCATCCAATTTGCAACGCGGATCAAAAACACAAGCAACTAAATAAATCATGGGAATTTCACTATAATAATGAAGCCATTTCATTTTCATTGCAACTATAGTATGTTGTAATTCAACATCATTTTCATATTCATCAAAAGTTCCGACAATATTAGTACACTCTACTAAAAATAAATGTGTAGTAGGAAAATAAACACCAGACAAAGTATAAGTTGCATCATTAAAAACCTTTAAAAGATCTAAAAATTTTTGGCAAATATTCCACTCTTGTGGGTATAAATTAATCTGAGGTATATTATTAGAAATGAATGCACATAATAAATCTTTATATGCTAAAGATTCATTAAGCAAGTGGAAAGTAGAATTCCAACGAGTTGGAACATCTCTTGGAAATCTTTTTGGCTTTTTGCCATTAACTCTACAAAATTTACCCCATTCTTTCATTTTTTTGGGATGTTTCCATAAAAATTGAATCGCCGTTTTTATTGATTGAAGAAAAATATCAAGAGTTTTTAAACCATCTTGTACACATAAATTTAAAACATGACAAGCACATCTAATGTGAAAAAATTTTCCGTCAAAAGCGGGTTTACAAATATTTTCTAACTCGGCAATTGAAGCGGTATTTGCTGCGGCATTATCAAAACCAATTGAAAATTTTTTGTTAAGCAAATAATATTCTTCTAAAACTTGCCTAATTATTCTATAAATATTATTTGCCGTATGATGATCATCGAAAACTCTAAATGCAATAACTCTTTTTTGAATAGTCCACTCGTCATCTATCCAATGACATGTTATGCCCATGTAAGAATGATTTTGCCAATGATCACTCCAAATATCACTACCTATATGCACGCATCCATTAAATTGCGTAAAAAAGTTTTGTAAATCATTTTTTCCATTTTTGTAAAGATCTTTAATTACTCGTTTAATTGAATTTCTAGGAATACGTTTTGCTTGTGGAGCACATGCTTTTTGTACAAATTCATTAAAACCAAATCTTTCTCCAAAATTAAATGCTAAATGCTCAACGGAAATAAATTTGCCTAATTCTTCCTTATAAGTTTTTTCATTAAAACGAAATAAAGGGGAAGTGTTAGAATTGACGTACCCGGAAATTTGTTGTTGCCCGATATCGATTCCCGTTTCGGTTGGATGTTTGCTCATAAGATGTCGTTTAAATGTTCCATATCCTTGTCCACCTGTATATTTATATATTTTTCCACAATATTTACAAATTATATCATACCTTTTTTGACCGATATCAAACCTTTTCATTTTCGTGAAGTGATTCCAAATGTCAGATGTAAATTCCCGTTTCGCTTCCTTTGTTGTAGATATTTCAGCAGGAGGATGAAAACTTTCTTGCGTCGGGACGCGCTCCACATCGCGAAAAATGTTGATTTCATCATCTTGAAAATCTGCATATTCACGAGGATCAAAAGAATGATGGGATTCCGTTGCGATATTCTTACCTTTGCCAGTTGGCACTCGACTTCCACTTGCCATTTTTCGAATGGATTGAGAGAATTGAGCGGATTAATTGGGAGAATTAAGAAAGAATTGCGTGGATTGAGAAAATTGAGAGAATTTCAGAGAATTTGAGAGAATTTCGAGTATTGAGAAAATTTGAGACTTGAGAGAAGAGAATTGGAGAGAATTTGAGAGAATTGTGTGTGTATTGTGAGAATTTGAGAGAATTTATAGGAAAAAAATAGAAGAAAATTTAGAATTAAAAAAAATAAAACATAACCGTTGCAAAATTGCAACGGTTATGTGTTTTTTTATTTTTTTATTATAAAAACGCCCGTTGGGGCGTAGCCGTTGCCCCAACGGGCCGCAAGGTGCAAGCCGCGGCGGGGCCGCACGTCTGCAGCCCCGTTGCGGATAAATTTTTTTTTTTTTTTTTTTTTGGGTTTGGTTGTTGGCCCGTTGCACGGCAACGCGCAGCTTTCTTATTCTTCTTTACGCTGCAGCTTTTTTTTTTTTTTAATTTTTATTTATTTTTTTCGCAGACCGGCCCGGAACCGGCGGTTCCGGGCCGGTTCAAATTTTTCTGGAACCGGAACCGTATGCCACAGGCCGGTTCCGGTTCCGAACCGCGGGCCCGGGTTTGAACGGGCTGGTTCCGGTCCGGTTCTGGGCCAAAACCGACCCGTGGCCACCTCTAAGAGGGGCATCGGGTCGGGTCAGGACCCGGTTGGCCCGGTTTTCTTTTTCCAACTAATTAAATTTTTTGATGAAAAATATTCAAATGTAATTTAAGAACAATAGAAAAAAATTTCACTGAGGAAACGTAATTGAAAACGGGGACGGGCTATTGGGGGCCGCTCACCGATTAAGTGATCCCGGGATTTCTTTTTAGGCTCCGTTTATTTTGCGAAAAATAAATGATTTTGAAAAATATTTTTCAAAAGTAAATGTTTGTTTCGTTTGAAATAATCGGACAATGAGAATTTTTTTGTCATTATTCGATAACAATTCATTTCTAAATATTTTAGTGGACGATAAATATATTTTTCTTTCATTCACTTTAATAAACGATATAAGTAATCATTTTTAGAAAATTTTATGAATTATTCATTTTCTACGAAATAAATGCATTTTTAGGGCTGATCGTCTCCAGTTGGATGTTGGGCCGGATTGGGTCACTGCATTAGTGACCATTATGTCCTTCCTACTAGGGGTGTCAATGGGTCGGGTCGGGTCGGGCTTTCTTGATACCCGACCCGACCCGAAACCTACAGGGTCATGCTTGACCCGCCCAGACCCACCCAAGACCCTGTTCACCGTACACCCCAAGGCCCGGGCCGGGCCGGGCCGGGTCGGGTTGGGTCGGGCTTCGTTTTTTTTTTTTTTTTTTTTTCGCTTTCGCGCAGATAGTAACATCAAATGTCCCTGTTCTCCAAACCTTGAATCACCAACTAGCTTCTGTTCCTAGCTAATTTCACCCCTCACCGGAACAACAAGACAGGCGGTCGAACCAGACACCTGAGTTCAAGGCACAACGGGATCCGCTCCTGCCTTCGGAAGAGATTAAACTTTCGACGATGCAGCAGTCTCTCTGTGACTGTGAATCGCAATTCGCAATGCGATTCTCAGCACCAGAACACCCGTTGACTCTTGTACTGCTGAACTCAGGAACAACATCATCATCCTCATCATCATCCTCACGAAATCAATACAAAAGAAAGGCAACATCTTGGAATCCTAGAAGCAAAATCCCTGTTCATTGTGTCTGCATCAAACCGCAGTTCCAACTCCATCTCAACTTATTAGGCACAAGTGAGGAACGAAAACTTCATCAAGCTCAAAACCCAACAAGAACCTCACCCCTCAACACCAGCCAACGACAGCCAAGTTCAAAGCCCCAAAAAGAAAAGAAAAAAA